TAGAGATGTTGTCTATAGAGATGTTGTCTATAGAGATGTTGTCTATAGAGATGTTGTCTATAGAGATGTTGTCTATAGAGATGTTGTCTATAGAGATGTTGTCTATAGAGATGTTGTCTATAGAGATGTTGTCTATAGAGATGTTGTCTATAGAGATGTTGTCTATAGAGATGTTGTCTATAGAGATGTTGTCTATAGAGATGTTGTAAATATATATTCTATGTTTTCAACATTCTTAATTGTTCATTTTTATAGTTCCTTCTCACAATCTACATGGATTACATCGCCCACTTTTTGACAAGTTCACACCTGTGCCCGAGGGAGATTTAAAAACAGCCATTGAATCATTGGCAAGGAAAATTGACTTTCCTTTGACAAAGTTACTGGTTCTTGAAGGATCTAAAAGATCCTCACACAGCAATGCTTATTTTTTTGGTTTTTACAAGAACAAAAAAATTGTATTGTTTGATACCTTACTTTCCGAGGATGTGATCGGTAAACCGGAAGACAAGAACCTAAAGGATAACAAGGATAATGGTAAGGAAGATGGGATAGAAGTGGATAGCAATAACATCGAATCCAAAGGAGAAAATGAGGGTGAAGTGAAAGTTGAAAAGGTATTTTTAACTGTTTGATATTTTGAATTTGTGTGCAATGTTTTTAGTGTTTACCCCACGATTTACTGTTTAGTGCTTTAGTAAGCGAGAGAGTTATATTTTGAAAGATTAAACCAATCAAAAATCTATAACACAAAGTTTTTAAGACTTTGTGGTATTTTTATTTTTTGGATATTACAGTTTATTTTCTGAGAAAACTCGTGTCGACAAAAAAAATTTTCAATGAAACGAAAAAATCCCCTTCAATCCATACGTACCCACCAATACCCCGAGACAGTTAATCACTAGAACGTCGCATGTTTACGTTTTGGTGGGAGATGTCGGCTGTTGACACGCTATTCTTCCTACGTGGGGATGTGAACAGCAAGCTTCCACCCATCAGATCACCAAGGTGATATGCAGGGAGAGTGCTGTCGCGATCTGCGTAAATCACGCATGCGTAGATGATTTCTTTAATAATTCGCGACTAAACGAATGAATTATTGAACTGCATTAGTTTGAACGGCATTAGTTTGTCAAGTGGATTGCGCGAGTATTCAGCCATAAATTATTAACATGTTGTCTGTCTTCATTAATAACATTTTTGTCTTAATAACTTTTTTTGTTGCTGTATCAGATCGTATGAATTATACTTTATTTTATTTGTATCAGAAGACAGACGTCGATGTTGAAAATAAGGAGGATACAAAAACAACAAAAAAAAGTGTTGGTTGTACGATTGAAGAAGTACTTGCTGTTTTATCTCATGAAATGGGACATTGGAAACTCAATCATACCTTGAAGAACTTGATTATAAGTCAGGTAAGTTCATTGGTAGTAACTTGATTATAAGTCAAGTAAGTTCATTGGTAGTAACTTGATTATAAGTCAAGTAAGTTCATTGGTAGTAACTTGATTATAAGTCAAGTAAGTTCATTGGTAGTAACTTGATTATAAGTCAAGTAAGTTCATTGGTAGTAACTTGATTATAAGTCAAGTAAGTTCATTGGTAGTAACTTGATTATAAGTCAAGTAAGTTCATTGGTAGTAACTTGATTATAAGTCAAGAAAGTTCATTGGTAGTAACTTGATTATAAGTCAGGTAAGTTCATTGGTAGTAACTTGATTATAAGTCAAGTAAGTTCATTTGTAGTAACTTGATTATAAGTCAAGTAAGTTCATTGATAGTAACTTGATTATAAGTCAAGTAAGTTCATTGGTAGTAACTTGATTATAAGTCAGGTAAGTTCATTGGTAGTAACTTGATTATAAGTCAAGTAAGTTCATTGGTAGTAACTTGATTATAAGTCAAGTAAGTTCATTGGTAGTAACTTGATTATAAGTCAAGTAAGTTCATTGATAGTAACTTGATTATAAGTCAAGTAAGTTCATTGATAGTAACTTGATTATAAGTCAAGTAAGTTCATTGGTAGTAACTTCATTATAAGTCAGGTAAGTTCATTGGTAGTAACTTGATTATAAGTCAAGTAAGTTCATTGGTAGTAACTTGATTATAAGTCAAGTAAGTTCATTGGTAGTAACTTGATTATAAGTCGAGCAAGTTCATTGGTAGTAACTTGATTATAAGTCAAGTAAGTTCATTGGTAGTAACTTGATTATAAGTCAAGTAAGTTCATTGGTAGTAACTTGATTATAAGTCAAGTAAGTTCATTGGTAGTAACTTGATTATAAGTCAAGTAAGTTCATTGGTAGTAACTTGATTATAAGTCAGGTAAGTTCATTGGTAGTAACTTGATTATAAGTCAGGTAAGTTCATTGGTAGTAACTTGATCATAAGTCAAGTAAGTTCATTGGTAGTTTCTTCATCAATCTTTGGTAAAATTCTTTCGTATTTTCTTATACTTCATGTGAAATTACCAAAGATAATTTAACGTTTTCTTTCTCTGTCTTTGTTGTATTCTGTTATTTATAACTTTCATTTTGCAGGTTAACACTTTTTTATCCTTTATGGCGTTTGGTTTCTTCGTTCATTGGGACGTTTTGTACACGAGTTTCGGTTTCACATCTTCACAGCCGACGTTGATTGGTTTGCTTATTGTCTTCCAGTTTATATTCTCGCCTTATAATGAGGTAATGTTGTGGATTTGAAACATCATCATAGTTTACATTTGATCTTGTAGTTCAGTTGGTAGAACATTGGAGACAATGAATACTTGTTAATATACCTGAGTACATCACAACAACGTAATGTTATTATCTATGATATTAAGATGTAAAAGAAACTAGAACTATGTTTTGAAATATCATCATAGTCTACAGTTGATCTTGTAGTTCAGTTGGTAGAACATTGAAGACAATGATTATCTTGTTACTATACCTGAGTACATCACAACAACGTGATGTTATTATCAATGACATTAAGATGTAAAAGAGACTAGAACTGTGTTTTGAAACATCATCATAGTCCACAGTTGATCTTGTAGTTCAGTGGGTAGAACATTGAAGACAATGACTATCTTGTTACTATACCTGAGTACATCACAACAACGTGATGTTATTATCTATGATATTAAGATATAAAAGAGACTAGAACTGTGTTTTGAAATATCATCATAGTCCACAGTTGATCTTGTAGTTTAGTTGGTAGAACATTGAAGACAATGATTATCTTGTTACTATACCTGAGTACATCACAACAATGTGATGTTTTTATCTATGATATTAAGATATGAAAGAAACTAGAACTATGTTTTGTAGCTTAGAAAACATTCTGTAACTTTTGTTTAGTTACTTGGCTTTCTTATGACCGTTCTCAGCCGCCGTTTTGAATTTCAAGCCGATGGATTTGGAAAAAGTCTTGGATACGCGTATTCTTTAGAATGTGCTTTGGTGAAGCTAAATAAAGATAATCTTGGTTTCCCTGTGGCAGACTACCTCTACTCCACATATCATTACTCCCATCCATCAATCGTTGAACGCATCCGGGCTTTGAGAGGCAAGAAGACCAATTAAAGAGTGGAAAAGATCACTTTTCCCAAGGGTTGTGCAACATCAACAGATAAGTGGAAAATCTCATTGCGCACGTTCGCGCTTTTCTGTCAACAACGTGCATGGATCTTTTGTTTTTAAAATCATTGTTTGTGAGCTGTTTGTGTTATTGACGCCTTGTTTTTTGACGGAGTGTTTTTAAATATAAAACTACAAATTAAACGCTCTAAATTTTTAATCATTTTTTTTATTTTGCTGCTTCATAACATCCTTTATACCACGAAGATCTTTTATTGCGTCATGTGCGATAAAGAACAATGAACTACATTGCGCTATTGATGATTTAAAAGGGAATCATAAATTATACATTGAAGTGCTTCAGATGTCCTTACTTTGTCATTTCTGTCGTCTATGTATGTAAATTATGTTTGTGCGACAGAAACGAATGAAAGGCCTGACAATACTTGGAACACTGTTCTTTATTATTCTCAAATTGATCTTTTGTCGAAAACACTGCCGAAAAACAATCCTTTGATTTTTGTGTAAGACGTCATTGCTTTACCACTCAGTCAATGTAAAAACTAAAGGAACCCCCCCTGGACACTTTCTAAATGTAGGATGAAAATTTTAAAGAAAATAAATTCAGAAGGGGGGCAACTGCCTTAGTTTTCTTCACTGACTGAGTGGTAATTTATTTTTGACTTATGCAAAACTCAATGAACATAATATTTTCTTTTTTTTACTCCGAGGTTTTACAAAACTGAAGAATTTGTTAATCGTGATATTAAATTTAGGTGTGATTTCCAAAGTACGTGTCAGTGAAAAAAGTTTTTAAGTTTGTCAAATCGTTCCATTTTATGGCTGTATAAAGTTGCCAAAAATACTCTTTTTAATGGAGCTTGTACGCCATTCGAAAGGTCTGGAACGACATACTGTTGTGACGTCATGCAAGGGATTCCTCAAAACGAGATATATATACCATATATACCAACTACCTTGGATGACGTCAGAACTTGGCTCGACCCAGGCTTCATGCCACGACGGACGAGGCCATTGAAAGGCAACTTTAAAACTCCATAACAAGAAGACGATTTGACCAAATTGAAAATTTTTTCACCGATACGTTAGCCATTACATCTAGTTTTAATATCGCTGATAAAAGTTTTGCTATCTTGGGCACTTTGATTTGCAAATTATATGATTATTTCAGTTAAATAAATTTGAAATGTTTGTGATAAATTTGTGATGTCAATTACATTTATTGATTTGTTGTAAAAGTCAATTAAATTTTCTTCGTGTTTGGTTTTATTTTATGGTCTGGTTGGAAAGTCTTTCTTATAAATCACAAGTTTTATCCATCTGCCTTTGTTTATGTTCACGCTTTTAATATTTTTTTCTGTTTTCTGTCATTGAGACAATGTCAAGAATGACAACCTGGATTGAAATAGTAAGTACTTCATGTATCAACAATATATTGTGTGTGACTTTGCTAACTTTATATATCATTTAGTGAATAGTTTTGTTCAACTTTTTTCTTATTTTATTTATAGCGGTCTGTATATATTCTACGATATATTTTCATAAGTTGTACAATCTTTAATTTATTAGGGACATATGGGGGTATTGTGGTGTATATATTGATATGGTTTCTCTAATTTGTTTCCTCGTGTTTTCGTTTGTTTTTCTTAGGGTGTCTTGAACGACTCTTGGCTTTGCACAGGGGACATATGGGAGCATTGCGGTGTATCTGTTGATGACACGATAGACAAGATTTCATTGGTGGAGGCTGCTGTCTGAATGGTCGGCTATCCAAAGGTGTTAAAGGCTTGCTCACCATCTGATTGGCTGCTCTGGTGGCCACCATGATTTGAGATGTGACTGTTGGAGGTAGGAAGTCTGGGGGCGAGTGTAGCCATGTTGGTCTTGTTCGGTTATTGTTTAAGTAACTGAAAGAGAAAATTTACTGTTGGAAATGAAGTCTCGAATTGATAAAGCTGATGAGATAATTGTTTGAATCAGTATAAATAGTGCTTCATATTGTACAAAAATAACGGGGTAATCTATCTAGGATGATTTGTTATGTATGTGGGCTGGGAGAGGCATGCTTTGATTTGTATTTTGGAGTCTACTTTGTGATTGTAACAGACAGTACCATTTTAAATTGTGTTACTCATATGGCGCGATTGGAAGATATTTTTGGAATGTTTTCTCTAAAAATGCATAAATTGCTTTTGCTTGATTGCTTGGTCTATTGACATACGCGCCCCCCCTCCCCCGAAATTTCCTATCAAAAACATGCCACGCAGAACTTACTCTTTTTTCAGTTTTTCTTCATCTGGCAATCCTGGTAGTTTATCCAAACCAATGGAATCTCTCATTTTATCAATCTCTTCCTTCAATGGTATATAATCAGCGTGCAGTCGGCGGACGTTATCCAAGCAACGATCTCTCGATTTCTGCGATTGTTTCATGGTGTTTTCCATCTGTCAGACGTAGGAAATATTGAAAGACCTAGCTACTTATGGTGTCCGAGGATTGTTGACCGTTCAACAAAATGTGTGAAAAGGGGTAAGTATGAGTAAAGATGGATAGACTATCATGCAGTGGCTCAATAAAATACTAATGAAAATGACCAATTTTCCCTCCATTGTAAGCATCGCTATGCTCAACATACATCTCAAAGAAAATTTAAGTTGAAACATGTTGTACGAAGCCTGAATGATAATTTTTTCAATCGTTTCAACAATCTTTTGGCGGGAAAAAGAGGAATTTAAATTGTGCTACGTATGTACTGTGTGTATAAAAAAATACTTGACTCGTGAAAAAATTTCTCTGAAACTAGACACGCTTGGAATAAGCAAAAATTGACTGTCGCCAATGAAATCCTTTTTATGAAATCACTTCTTCCTCAATTAAGTAAGTTTGATCAAGTTTATTCTTTGATAATTGTACTTAATAATTAAAATTTTGATGTTGAAAAAGCAATATTCTGTTTTTACGAAGAACAGTTTTCATTCTCTTGTGCATTAAATACATCCCTCCATGTCCTTTTAGCTCACGCATTTTGTTGAAAATTTTATATAACCTGTGAAGCCAGCAGAGTTTCATTTATTGTACTTCTTTAATGAACAATTTCTGTTTATTTATTTAGTGGTAATCAAGAACATTTTATTTTCCTTTACTAACTTGAGGAAAAAGTTTGAATTCTTGTGAGAAAAGGAAAAGCGAATTTCAATATTTTATATGTTTGAGTGCTGCAACTCACCATATTAATGTCGGCATGGATTAATCTCAGTTCTTCTACATGTGACATTTTTTCCTGCAAAAGTTGATCCATTTCGCTTTGATATTCATGTAAACATTTATCTTCGCGCTCCGTAGTTTCCCATTCTTGCATCAGCATATTCTGAAGTCGATGTAACTCGTCCATTTTTATTCTTAAATAAATCAAAACTACATATACTCGTATTTATGTCCTTGATGTTTGTCTTTAAATGTTGACAACATTAATCTTCTATACTAAAGCGAGTCAGAATTTGGCAAATTTGAAATAAGATCATTTCTTCATATGATGCAGATGGATTTATATTTTTCATTGTTATTAAAACAAAATTATATCGCTTGTATTAATGTTAAATGGCTGTAACGTTTTGAACAGTTTATTTTAAAGTTTGTTGAAAATCGCCGATATTTTCTTCAAAACGATCGCTTTATCGCTTGTGTGGGTTCTGCTATATTCATTTCTTCAACGCGTTCATCTGGGTTTTTAGATAAGTCTGTTGCATGCTATATTTTACTGGAGCATTAATGAAGAAGAAATTCTTAAGTTTCTGTAAAGAAATGTTGAAATAAACGATATATTATCATATAAACTATAAAAAATGTGTTTTATTACACCCTGTTTGTATTATTTGAAAGACGTGTCGAAGTTCGTAACACGTGTGACCTTTTTTTGTATTTCCATAATTAACTGTCTGAAAGAAAACTGCGTGGAGTTTCTGGTTGCTGAGACACCAAAACTTCTATAGAAAAATCTGTGCGATTGTTTTGTGCACTTGGCGACGTAATCATTGGAATGGCGCTGAGCCAAATAAGTATTTTCTGTTTATCCAAAACTCGTCTTAGGGTCTTGTTAAAGATATTCGTTTTCCTTATTGCTTAGCTGACCAAACAAAGTGTACTTCGAATAAAAATGAAGTAACGTCTCGCTTTATAGTTTTATGATAATTTTGGTGAATAAATTACTGCTAAAATATCTGCTGTGCGTGTAACTGGCTATAAATGTGCGTAAGAAATTTAGACGTCTCGCTTAATGTTTGTTTTAAATTGACGTCTTTTTATTATAAATAAACAATATCTTTTGGGTTGTGAATAAAGATCTTTTGAACACTAGAACTTTAGCGATGCTCATAACAAAGTATAACCTTTTAGAATCGTAACTTTTATCTGCAGAATTTAATGAAAATTCGGTGTGGCCTTTTCTTTTATGGATTTCAATCATATTTGGTATACAAACTATAAGATCAATCTTAACTATACTACAATATCCTTGTGTCGATGCTTGTCGCTTATCGACGTTTGTCACATTCGTACTGCAGATGTGAAATTAGCAATACATATTTTACGTCAAAAGATTAGTGGATCAGCAGCTATGTTAAAAATTGCTTTAATTAGTCGCAGGTTGCATTTTGTAGCTACTTCGCGTTCCGTTGAATGTTTTTGCAACGGAAATTTTGTTTCATGTTTGATAGGAGAAACATATGTTCAAGGGTACATGCAGCTAATTTAGTGTTAGTCCCATAGACTTGCAATATAGCAAATGGTCAATATTGTAGTCCTTATCTTATAAAATATCTTACTTTATTTCTTTCACTTTTTCCAATTTTGACGCTACAACAGTATCGTCTTCATCGTTGTCACATTTTGTTTGTTGAATTTCCAAGGTTTTGCTCGTCGCCGGCAGAGCCATCTTCAGCGTCTTTGTTCATAACATTGAAAATTTCGCTTCATCTGCGCTTTATTGTAAAAGTATATATGGATATTGTTAGATTGTAGCCAATGAAAATGAGGATAGTATTGAACTTGTTATAGTGTCAGCTGTATAACACCTGTCTCTGTACCATGACAACCTAACATTAATGACTGGAACTCAAAAAAATAACTCTGTAGATGATTAGAATGTTCACAGCCATGAACTACAAGTTATGAAGAATCAGCAACATTAACGAAAAGACGACAAATCTTCCATTTTTATGAATTTATTTTTCACGAGCGGGAGATTTTGATGAAGCAAATTATAGATAGTTTTTTAATATATTCAATGGCTACTTTATGCAAACCTCCAATGACTTGTCAAATTTCATTAATGACAATAGAGGTTTTTACAAAATAGTCGCCACTTAACAGGCTTTGTCTAAAACCGAACAATATACCAACTTGATGGAAAAATTAGAAAATTAGCAACAGTTCTGCAGGATCCTTTGTGAAAAGTTGCAAATATCTATTATGAATATCAGACTGCTGTCTTCAACAGTTTAATGATATAAAATATTAATGGTTTTTTTTTCAAACAAAATTACCTTCTGCCCTTGGACGTTGCAAAATTGTCGATTGTGATTTGTCAGTACATTTAATCAAGTTCGAAGTTAAATTACTTCTGAAAAAAGGCTTCTCAATTTTTTAAAAATGGCTTTTTATAATCGTCTCCTAGTGTAAAACGAAATAGCTATTACTTTAAAAGACATTCTGCAATAGCTAAGCATACGGAAGATAGTTCCGATGTTTTTTCTATCAATCGATTTAAGAAGCTTCCAATTTTATATATAATTAACTAGCTATCATTTAATATGTAAAAATTCTCATTGAATATGTTTAGAAAATGAAGCTTTTCTTTCGATAAATTGGCGATCAAAACTTATGTCTACGGGGTATGCACACTCGTTGCAAATAACTTTATAAATAATAAATATGATTATTTATCGCCATGTTCAAATTGAATTTTATTTTTAGTTCACTGCTAAGTTTAACGTTGGACTTTAAGTGCAATATTTTTTCTACTTATTAAATTTAAAAACTGCAACTTTACATATGAGAATTATCCTTGTGTAATTAATATACTTCATCGGCTTAGCTTTGAAGATTGTTTATCGGCTGGTCTAGTTAGATCTTCCTGGTAAATGTGGAAAACCGTTGATTATAGGGATGTTTAAGAAATTGATACTTCGAGATTTTTCTTTAAAATTGACGTTTTCCTTAACTTCAAAACCGGTTTGAAGACGCTACTTGAATACGAGATTGTGATAATTTCAACTATTAATTGTGAGGTCGCTCGTGGTGTTTTAATAATTCTACTCAACATACCAATCTTCTATAACCTTTAATTTTCCTATCAATCAAAATAGCTGTATTTGTTGCCGTATATTTTTTTTCGTTTGTTGAGTACGAGTTCTTTCAATATGTTTGTGTGCATAATTTGAAGCAATTAAACTCTTTGTTTTTAATTCTGTATTTTTAATCAAGCCGCTTATTTGTAGCATGTGGAGTACAGTCGCATGCTTAAGCACTTCAAACAAATACATCAGGCAGATATTGAATATTTAGATTAAAGAACATGATATTTATTCTTGATTGTCGAGAGACTGTTGATGAAGTCCGTATTTATCTATCGTTTGCCGTAGAAACTAAACTATTTTCCACTCCTTAACTCAAGAAAATCTTAACCTTTCTTTCCAGAGATCTTGTAAACATCACTTCACTAAATTAGTTTTTACATCCTGTATAGTTCTATCTCTTTCCGAATGCGCAGTTTTAACCTCGACTCTTCAACTATTATATCAAATTTTTTTCTTCAATAAGGAAGTTGATTTGGATATAAAAACATCCAAAAATTATTTATTCAGAAAATCTTTATCATTTCTAAATTGTTGACAGAGATTTGTTTTTGAATATCCTATATTCAGTTTAAAAACATTAAAGGATTTTCTAATGTACAATATTTCTTATTCTAACTCGCACTTTTCTGTCATTTTAATCCAAACTGTTTCCCCATTTTATCATTGACTTTTCATCTTGTGAAATATGTGTATCGATATTGTATTAAATATTTTAAACTCATCTTAATTTAAAGCCACCATTGGTCCATAGTTTGTAAATATCTTAATCTCATAATCTGTTACCCTTAACAACTCAAAACTAATTTCGAAAACTTTTCATTTTATCAGCTGTGTGACGAATCAGACGATAGGGAAGAAAAATTGATTATTGGAAATAGAAAGGTTCGTCGTATTAGTTTATTTTTTAATACTTTGTGAATATTTAACTTGTTATTGTCTTTAACTCGCATAAATTGAAATTGATTATTTCTTCAAAGTTGAGTAGCAATTTATGAACACCGCGCAAAGTTTGATTTTTAATTATGTTTGTTTTGATATGTGATCTGTTCGAGAATATACTAAGATCATTTTTAATTAATCTAATGAAACAACGCTATAGTGGAACCTGAACGTCCACTTCAATTACTCTAAAAAACAGACCATTTATTGTCTATAGTAATCTTGCAGATCACTTCAAAATATCTGTTTTAATTCGACACGTAAACGTTTTTTGCCAATCGTGGACCTTTGTATGAAGTATTTTTTTCACAATTGACGTTATACCTTGTTATCCTTATCTATCCTTGATGTTTCTTTGATAGTACTTATGATAATGTACCCTGTTACGGTTATCTATATCGCATGTTTCTTTGGTAGTACAATTGACGATATACCTTGTTATCTTTATCTATCTCTTAAGAATGCTACGAAAGACCACACTTCAAAGCTTGCCAGTTCAAGAAGAGATCGAAATTGGGAGAAATGAGTCAGGAAGGCTGTCAAGCAAAAAGAAAACTGTTCCCACTCCAATAAATGAATTCCAAAGTATTGTTTCAACAATCACAATGGCGCGTTCTCTAAGGAACCGAGATTTGCTGCGCGCAAAATTTCCTAAAGAAGACCTGGGCGAGTTTTATATGAGTCATGCAACGTCACCATATGACATTGAACGACAATGGGATACGACGACCCAGCGAAGAACCGACGTTATAAGCCGACTGAATGCAAGTCCTCATTTCCTCTTTACAACTACACCCAGCAGAAAATTCCAGGTATGGATACATTGATCTCCTTATTTAACTGGACTACATTTATCGTTTATCTTTTTTCAGTATTATAGAGCTCAGTTGTACATAATACATAAATGGAAGTATTTTACAAAAACTGGCCCGCTCTTGTTTTATTAAACACAACCTTTTTAAATAATATTTATAAAAAAATTCAAGTTACAAAGTTTCATACGGACTTTCGTGTCGTCAGTCAATTTGAAGTAAAGAATAAATGATCATTTCGGAGTGTCAGAAAAATAAACTTAGCCTTTAAAACTAAGGAATATAATAGTTACTGTTTAGTTTACTGTACAAGACTAAAACTTAGACAAAAACAAGGAAGGAAAATTAAAATGATAATTTTTATTTTATGACAAGTTGTTTAGACTTGCACTCCATAATGTGGATTTTGCGAATTATTATCTCTAAATAAGGACTACACAACAGCAAGCATGTACTTGTTTTCAGTATCAAAGCCAGACTGTTTTCGTCCTAATATTTTTGTGCTCATTCCCTGGAAAAACAACGAATGGAATTATTTTTGTAAAGCATGAAAATAATTTTGCTGGAAAATTAGAGTAGGTGTAAAAGTTCGTTAAGGTTTCGCTACTGTTTGCTTCACAGAATATGTCACGTTTATTTTGAATCGCGATTCTTCCAATCACTGTCGAATGGCTGGCTCTTTAACAACATGCTTTGTAATGTTTGTGTTTATATGTTCATGAATTTTGTTGAAAAATTATTCCTATGATTTTGTGCAAACAAACGTAGCTAATCATATTTTTAGGATGTGAAAGTAAGAATCGTCGTCGAAGAAGTTTTGAAAGAAAATTTAAAAATTGTTCTTATTCTCCTGAATTATGTCGAACATATTCTCCTGTCCTTGCTGATCATATAAAAGATCGGGTAAAGAGATTGGTTTTCCGCGTTACAAAATTATTGCTCATGTGATCATGGGTCAGGTGACTGGTCAAAGCATGCGCAGTGTTAGTCGATGCGCATGGAACGAAGATTTTGATAACTTTGCGCAGTATTGTTACAAGAGCTCTACACTGTTTGCGACAGCGGTTGTTTATGGCGTGTACACGGAGTAACGAACATCCCTCAATATCCTTTAATACCCCACGACCAATACATTTACACATTTTATTCTTCCTTCATATCTTTGCTGTTGCCATTTTGCAGCGAGTTACCAAATTAAGAGTTGTATAAAAAATCATGAATTTGGATTTGATAATTTTTATTATTAAAATAGTAAATTGTTCATACATTTCAATTTAAAAACAATGGCAGGAAATTTTCTTGCCAACAGTGTGTTACATCAACACAGCTTCTTAAAAATCATTTTACAGCAATTATAAATTAATTATTTCTTGATCATTACTAACTAAGCAATTACAAAAATAGCAAAGACAATAAACTACATTTTATATGGCAAGCATCACTTTCGGCAAATTGGCGGGTTTTGATTGGCTCAGAAATATTTTTGTCAGTCCATTATTTTCCGTAATGGACCACGGTCCAAAACGCGTAATTTTACCGTCAAGTGTAAACAAACGTCTTAAAGCAAACAGCTAAACGCAAAAACAAACAAAAACCATTTACGAGTGTGAGTCGACGGAAAAACACTCCGGAAACAGTTTAACTATCCCGACGATACAATTTGAAACGATTTATTTTTTATCGACAAAACTAGAAAAGTGAAAGTCAACCCGTAAAAACAGCATGTACGAGAAAGAAAACAAGCTTCGTTTCGGGTCAAATAATGCCTTATAATAAACCTTATAATAACCTCGCTTTCTCGGTCTTTACTGAGAAATATCGGAGCTTTGTCTTTCTGTACAAACCTCGCCCTACGGCTTGGTCAGTACAAAAAGACCTCGGTCCGTTATTTGTCCGTAAAGACCTCGCGCTCGGTTATTATAAGGTCTTAATAATCATGATACATTGTTCACACATAACTTTATAAATTTGTTGTCACATTGCTTCAACACATGACTGATAACTTCCACTTGAAGATAGAAGAAGATTTTCCAAACTGTTCCTACTCTCCCTTAAGCTTGAATTTGATCTACTGGTCATCTGTCGATGTTTCTTCTTAGCCGCTTGTATATCGTTATACGTGTGAATTAGAACATATATTTTGAAATCGATTGCTAGAGGCAGGACATACAGCTGTAGCTTTTTATCATTCTCAGGTTTCTTATGTTGGAAAGCCTCTCCAATTAGCTCCAAACATACTAATGCCAATACGTTCCAAATCATTAGATTCAGAGCAAACCAGCATCTATAACACAAAAATAGCTTGTTTCTTAATTTAGGTCTTTCCTCAAGTTTGGTTTCTTTTTTGAGATCTAGTGAAAAATTGGCTGAGAAAAATAGAGTACCTTAGTTCCCGCCGGTCACGATTCATCCAAAACATAAACACAGTCAAGATTAAACAAGCAAAACCTTTACAGCTTTCTCTGATTTTTTCTCTATTATTATCGCTGTACACAGTAAGTAGAGAGTGATAACTTATGGCACAGATGGAGTAAAACAGTAAGATTCTTGAATGTCCAACATTTTCCCCTGCCAAGTATGCTGTAATTCTCTCAAATACCGTTGTCTCTCTGTCCATAAATGTGTTTTCTTCATTGTCACGTTGACAACAAGTTACATCAATAGTTAAACCCAATACAAAAAGCGAAATGCCTATTATGGCACCCGTTGCAAGGTAATGCTCATCCGTAGTCTTAAGCCTTAAAAATAAGAAATGATCAATTGAAAGTTGTAAAGAGTTGTTTGAAAGTTACTTTAAATAAGAAATGGTCAATTGAAAGTTGTAACGAGCTGTTTGAAAGTTACTTTAAAAATAAGAAATGGTCAAGTGAAAGTTGTAACGAGTTGATTGAAAGTTACTTTAAATAAGAAGTGATCAATTGAAAGTTGTAACGAGTTGTTTGAAAGTTACTTTAAAAATAAGAAATAATCGAGTGAAAGTTTTAACGAGTTGTTTGAAAGTTACTTTAAATAAGAAATGATCAATTGAAAGTTGTAACGAGTTGTTTGAAAGTTACTTTAAATAAGAAATGATCAATTGAAAGTTGTAACGAGTTGTTTGAAAGTTACTTCAAATAAGAAATGATTAAGTGAAAGTTTTAACGAGTTGTTTGAAAGTTACTTTAAATAAGAAATGATCAATTGAAAGTTGTAACGAGTTGTTTGAAAGTTACTTTAAATAAGAAATGATCAATTGAAAGTTGTAACGAGTTGTTTGAAAGTTACTTTAAATAAGAAGTGATCAATTGAAAGTTGTAACGAGTTGCTTGAAAGTTACTTTAAAAATAAGAAATGGTCAATTGAAAGTTGTAACGAGCTGTTTGAAAGTTATTTTAAAAATAAGAAATGGTCAATTGAAAGTTGTAACGAGTTGTTTCAAAGTTAATTTAAAAATAAGAAGTAGTCAAGTGAAAGTTGTAACGAGTTGTTTGAAAGTTACTTCAGTGCCGTTATCTACCTTGTTATATATGAACCAAGTGCAGCAGACACGAACACAACAAATAAGAAAAATCCCCACCAAGTTCCTTTGCTTGAATCGGATTCTGTCTGAAAATATGGTCATTATAAAAATAAATATAAAGAGGCTAATAATTTTTTCTCCTCGTGTCATTTGCTGTCATTGAAACACACAGTAGAAAGTGATTCTAACAAACATACGTATAATGATTTTAGTCGCCAGGCCTAACAGGATAGCGTAGTTCTGATGTCCGAAAATCAAATTTTCGTATTATAAAATATATTGCAAATGTTTTAAAACTGTCGTCTCTACATAAATACATTATTTCCCAGCGGGTGATGTATGAACTTAGTCGGTAAAATAATTGAAAACGGTTTTTAATTATAACGGTTAAATTGTGAAAAGTATTTTTTGCAGCCCAAGTTAGGTTTGCAAAAATATGGGAAATATCAGTTGCCAACAGCGTTTGACTTTCAGTTTTGAAAATTATAGAAAACACGAATGCCTTACTCTTGCTTGATAGTCAATTCTGCCTTGGTCTACAAGATCTTCGCATTCATGATCAATTTGATTTGGATTATCTTCTATGTAAAACTTATACAACAACTGAGCAGACTCAACATGATAAGCCAATGTCGAGGCTCTGTTTACAATGTAGACAATCGTATCAACAGACTTGCTGTAAAGTTTGTCCATACATGGCGTTTGTAAGTCAACTATATTCTTAAGGTCGGTAACATTCAACATCCACATGTACATATTCATAAATATCATAACAAGCAGAAACGATTTTCTTGTTATCCTCCAATCTCTTCCTGCTTTAAGAACCCGTGTCTTTTTCTCATACGTGAGCAGGCACAACACTGTAAAATATAATACCACAAGTAGACAGATTTTTTTATAATATTGAGATTTTCAACTTCCGGGATAAACTCAGCTCATGTTTGAAATACCTTCATGTAATCAAACCCCGTTTTAAAAGGATATCGAGGTATCTATGTCCGCTATATATTGTACATAAAAGTTGTGCAGTAAATTGTTAATATTGAAATTAAATTCATTGCGGTAGCTAACTGTAGGGCCACGTACTTCCTTTTATTATAAATACTTCTTTTCTATCTAATGCCCGTTAAACAGACTAGTCCTTGATGTGCGAGGGAAAAGTTATTGTACAAAATAGTCGATATAGTGTACATTTAACTTACTTTGAAACGAAGTTTGAATTAACAAGACTATGCGCTCGAAAGCAAATAACCACCAATCTTCACCATAGCCAAAGAGTACCTTGTTTTTAAATCAAACAATCCGATCAATCGCAGTATTGTTTCACTTCCCGATAAAATCCAACTGAGAAAAGCGACTTGAAATTAAGCGGTTGGTTTTCGTCTTTGTGCGTAGTTTTCGTCATTACTCCTGCCATAATATACTAAAATAACGTAGACAACACAGGACAACACAAGCATTGTGCAACCAAGGATTAATAATAAACGGTACAGCAGCTTCCAGTGACGTTCAAAATCATTTTCTAATTTAGATATCACAAAATAAATAGTGCTGATGAAATTTGCAAAAATTGTTAAAATAAGAACAATATTTAGCAATAAAACCATGCGAATCTTGCTCGAAGCACATTTTGCGTTTGTGAAATTTCTGAGAAATGATATGAACATAAACTAATAAATGTATTCCCACTAAAACGAGAAATCAAGACAATTGATTGGTTGCGTGAATCAAAGACCCTTGAGTGCTTGAGTTATCAATATATCAAGTAGTCGAAGGGTAGTTACGTTTAACTGATTTTAGTTGTGTTTTGTATTTAATTTATATTCTTCACAACGTTATATTTTGCCATTAAAGCGTTATAATTTTCAATAAACATTACAAATTTTACATTGCTAGATCAAAATACCTTAAACAAATGTGGTTGGCGAACTCGAAAGTAATCTTTGTTTGTAATTTTTATGGAGAACTTAATGAAAAAATACTTTTTAAATTTCTGCAGTGTAAAAAGATGTGAAAGTTGAACAACCACCTTAATAATGTATGACATCCACCATTTTCTGAAGTGGATGGTAATTGACCTCACTCAAAATAATATTTCAAAACTCATTTAGATTACAAGCCAACATTGATTACAAGACCAACAGTAGATATTTAAAAAAGTAATTATTTTTTTATTGGACTTCTGTCATCACCACTTATGAAGTGTGTCTCCCATCGGTGAAGACGCGGCAAGTGCTGTTGTAGTGGGCTCATTGCGCTGTACAGGCAATGATAATCAGCTATTATTTATGCAAGAACAAACTCCAAACGTTTGCACTTCTACAGCTTACATAATTTCTACGTAAAAATTTTTATCAGATGTCCGATTATCGTGTTTTATCAATACAAAGTCATGTCGTTCATGGCTATGTTGGTAATAAATCTGCAACATTTCCTTTACAGGTTTGTGTGAAACGATAAACGATCCTATAAACCAATGACCATTCTCTGTACTGAATTCCCGCTTCTCTCCACCTAGGTTAATGGATTTGAAGTTGATGCTGTAAATTCTGTGCAATTTTCAAATCATACAGGTTGGAAAGCGCGTCGTAAATTATTTATTTTATAATTAATCGAACCATATCAAAAGTCACCTCCGTTCCTCACTTTCCAAGTTTATATTTGTTTGGGATCATTCGTTTGCATTCGTCCTAAATGACTTGGATTTTTAATCTTTGTACAATGCGAATTGATTTAAATCCTATTAAAGCATATCTAATTTGACTTGAAGCATATAACTGGGTTTGTTTTGTTTCAATACAAGTTACAATGCCTGCACATGACAACACGACATTTTTGTTGACCGTCTTTTTCTTGTTCATTGCTATTGACAACATTTCTAATGATTTGAAACATTTTTAACTCTTTATAGGTTATGGTCATTGGAAAGGACAAGTGTTGAATTCCAATGAACTGAAAGAACTTTACGATGGCCTCAGGCTAAATAAGATAAATAATTACACTCATTTATTGACAGGTAATAACATAAGATTTAGTGACAATTCAAGATAATTTTATTTTTTCATTTAAACATTATAATCACATTCAAATGCACAACGTCAGGTTATGTTGGATCCGAATCATTCCTTGAAGAAGTTGTCAATGTTTTGTTGGATTTGAGAAAATTAAATCCTACCTTAGTTTTTGGTAAGAATTTCACACGACAGATTAAAAATTAATCGCCAGGAAATTTTTTTTATAATAAAGAATCGCTCCTGGATCTTTTGTAGTGTGCGATCCGGTCATGGGCGATCACGGAAAATTTGTAAGATTACACTTTACAATATTATGTATATATAATCAACATGTCTTCACAGGTTTTTTCTTCAACTTCAGTATGTACCAGAATCATTGCTACCAATTTACCGTGACAAATTGTTGCCCTTAGCTGATATCATTACACCCAATCAATTTGAGGCAGAGTATGTCAAAGTGTAGTTATGCTTTATGAAAGGCATTGAAACTTTATGGCTACTTTATTTTAATTATTTTTTTCACTAGACTGCTCAGTGGAATGAAAATCAACACTGAAGAAGATGCATTTAAGGTAGTTATTTTTAGTTATGAAGTTGAAGAACCAAGCAAATTTATGACCAAAGTGAACAATGTTTTAATTCTACAGGCGATGGATGTATTACACAAGAAAGGCGCAAACTCTGTAGTTATAACGAGTTCAGAATTAGGTGAAGATAACACATGGTTGCATTTGGAAGTTCAAATGGGAAAGGATCATCCGGTGAGTTTTTTAGCTGTTTATATATTGAATAGGCTAGATATTGTATTCATTTTTATACATTTCATGGATGTTGGAAATGGGTTGGTTATATTGTCGGCTCATTGATTAGATAGGTGCAAGGATGGATTTACCTGGGAAATTTTCACCCCCCCTGATAACCTTGAGCAGAGCAAATCTACAGGAGTGGTGCCAATTTCCCTATGAAAGTCAAAATATTAATATGCCTAGTAATTAAGCCGGAGCATTGTTATTTGTGTTTATGAAGCCGATACTTCCAAAAATATCTCCTTGTCATGGTGTAAGAGTAAGAAATCTAACATTGAATGACTACTTTTAAACTTCTATAAATTACTCGGAAAATCTAATCCAAACTAGGGCACCGCCCACAGTGAAATTATCTTGGTTCCATTCCATGGTAGATGTTGTATATCAGGGTTTTTGTTCGAGCATCATTTATGTGGTTATTTTCTTCATATTGATGTTTTAAAGGCGTAGAGTCAACTCAAATTGTATCAGTTTTAAGGACATCTGAATTTATATAACAGGAAATAGCCATCGAACATGCATAAGAATGGTGGTACCTAAATTACCTGCTGTGTTCACCGGAACTGGGGATTTATTCGCAAGTTTGTTGCTTGTATGGATGCAGAAACATCCAGAGAATTTGAAATTGGCTTGTGAAAAGACCATGTCTTCAGTTCAGGCTGTCTTACATGAAACATTACAGGAGGCTCAAAGTAAGTTTGTTACACATCAATTGTTGCATGTTTTAGCTTTGCAAATCAACTATAGAAATGTGAAATGTTTGTTTAGAAAAAGCTGGGGAAGGGAAGACACCTAGCAGTTCTCGAATTGAACTTTGTTTGATAAAAAGTATGGCGAATTTAATTAATCCTCCTACAGACAATGTATTTGCAACGGAAGTGAAGTTTTAATCACTTAAAATGTTAAACATATATTAGATAAGTAATTTTTTTATTATTAAAATTGTTCAACAAATTAACATTACAATTATCACAAATATGTTAGAAAATATCAAATGAATACCATACATTACATACATACTCTTAATTTCTTAATGTCGGAGAATGGCCCAAACAATTATATGGAAATATTTACTTGATTAAAGTGATTGAGGAATTAAATGTGAATGCAATTGCAAAAATCCTCTTTCATGTAAGTCCATTGCAAAAATATCCAATACTTGCATAACATTGATAACTTCACTTGTTTTGTAAAAAGGAATGCCTGAAAATACTGATATTGAGTTATAACCTTGTGTCAATATCCTTGTTATTAAAATTATTGCTCAATAATTTGGTTTCTAAATCATTACAAGTTTCTTCTTCATCTGATAAATTATCAAGGCTCGGATAGACGATATTCGTAACTGTGTTAATGCCAGCAATGGTTGTCTTTACTTCATCTTTTTCTAACGAAAATAATGCTAAAAAATACTTCAATGATCATTATTTTGCATCAATGTAAAGACATACACCAACTTACCATTTTTACTGTACAAAGATTGTGTAGGTCCATTATCAGACTGATCTACGATATGACTTGATTCAAATAGTTTTTTTGCAACATCTTGGCTCAAAACTGAATCAACAATTGCTTTCAAGTAACTATTCTTCTTGAAGATTTTTAACACTTGGATTTGATTCCACGAGATGATTTTGCAATCTGTTTTTGCTTGAAATGTAACCTGTTAATTGAAAGAAATGTTGTTTTACCTACTGGAAGTTTATGTTGTCAATGTTGAATGGGCTAGAATAATTTTACTTTAGTACAAGTTTGTAGGCGTAGGATTATCCAGGTTAATGAAGTCCTGAGTAGGACTTGGTGTTGGTGTTGACTAATGTGTCTACATCATTGAGCGGAGGTCATCTTCATAGTCACATGACCTGTAAATGTCATACATTTCCCCATCATCAGTCATCACTTCAATCAGAAGATGACTATTTCCAATGATGTCAAATAATCAGTCGACTGAACACAAGCACCAACATTTCTCCTAAAGACTGCATTACTAAACTGGACAATCAACACCTTCGAACATATGTATAATGATACTCCTTGGTTCAAAACACTCGCTTTTTTACTGCCATACATGCAGCTTCACAAATGTTGGGTTTTGCTTTGTAAAAATTCATTTCGTATTTGGCTCTAGATTTCAACAAGTGATTTTTGCCTTGAAAACTTGCCTTGTAAATATACGATTTTTCCTTTGCAATAATCCACTCAGGCGAATTTATAAATTCACAATCTTCAATTGTGTAAAGTACTTTGTCATGTTGAAGTACATTTAACCTAAAAAAGGATATTATTTCAAACAATTTAACACTCAATTCACTTCACAGCACTTAGACTCTATAACCGATTTACATACGTATTGCGTAATGTTGTTTGTTTTTACTTAACTGTGTCAAAAAGTTCCATTTGTGCTTAGGCCAACAACGATATTGACCTTTTTATGACCAAATATGACAAGAAATTTATAAAAAATAAATATCGTACATTTCAAAGACATACTTTCCTTTCAAAAGTATCCACAAATTATCTAACTGAGTAACTCCTTCGGAAGCCAAAATCTCATCTGCTTCCAATACTTTCGTTTCAAAATCTTTCGTTAAATATTGAAATTGATGCCGTAAAGTGTTCACAGGTTGAAATATGTTCGCATAAACAAGTTCCATTTCAGCGCTAAACTTTTTAGTCCGGCGACAGTAAAATACGTAAAATAAATGTAGAAAATTTCCTATGAAGAAGATAAAGTTCCAGAGAAAAGTATCTAGAGAACACAATATTATCCATCCCCACAAAGCAAAAAACAAACTGGCAAAACCCAGAGAAATTCGCAAGTATATCAATCCATTAAAGGTCGGCGGACATGCATATGATAACAGTAAACAAAAGTTGGCACAGTGAAAGAAGAAATGATTAGCCGGTAGCCATTCGCAATCAACAGTGTAGGTCATATTACATCGAGTTTTTGTTCTGTTAGTTTCGAATTACAACGCTAAAATTTTTAGCAAGAACTTTTAAATGCTTTCTTCCTTCCAACGAGCTTTTGATTTGCATTTAAAAAAAAACAACATTTAATATTCAACATTGAAAACAATTAAATAATAAAGGTAAACGCACACGGTTGACTGAGCTATCAAACATTAAGAACAGATGTGCACATGTTAAGTACTTAAGTAGTTCAGGAAACAGGTTTATTTGCTCAAGCCAAAACTGAAGTCTAAAAGTAACAAATGTTTAGGTTTGAAAAATACTTACAAATTTTAGTTGTTTTTTAAATTATTTTGCCATTAAGGTTAAGTTAATCAACTCCAAACCAAAGCTGACAAATACTTATTTACTTCTTCAATTGAAATACCCAAATTTTTGATACCTAATAAGAAATCAACACACATCCTCATAGTCTTGAAAATATTTTTCACTTTAGTACAAATGACTAAATGCTTCTTGATAAGCCTTCATGTAATTATCGTGCTCTTCTGTAGTCATATTTTCAATCATTTCATCTGTAATATCATCCAATGCAATATTTTTATCCCCAATCTTTACTGTGATATCATCATCATCATCACTATCCCCTTGTGTACCAGCGTTCTCCTCGGTAACATTATGAAACCCGGAATCAGACTCATCACTTGAGTCTTGTGGTAGACTACCCACACTCTCATCCAGCCTAGCTTTCTTGTTCTCATGCAGTAATAAATTTTTCATAATCTCATTATTAGCTGTATGTGGTTGTTCTTTAGTTAAATTATTGCTGGACGTAGAAGGACTTTCAGCTATATCTCCTGAAGGTCCTACAGTACTCTGACTTATCCATAGTGGTACCTCTTTTGTTGCTTTTTCCTCGTCAACTTTCTCGTCACCCATGTTAATTTTTATGTCATGTTCATAAAGATTCTCGTTAACTTGGGCCTTTGTTGACCAACCTTGTTTTGCATTGGATCCGCCACTTCCAGAGTTTCGTGACACCAACTGTTTTAAACATAATGCAGGTCCTGGTTCCAAAATTTCAGGTGCCAACTTAAAGTTCTCGCATCCACGAAGCAAAATAAATATTTGTTCCATTTGCTCATTAAAAAGAGCCAAAAGCGAACGAGAACTTTGTTTTTGTTCAACACCAGTTGTGTCTTCTTCAATGGGACCACCACAAAATTCACAGTAAAGATTTCCAGACATAGGATCAAGCAAACGATCAATTTCCAAATCAGAATACCTTTTGTTGCATTGAGTGCATACAAAAGATGGTCTGTTTGTTGCTTCTCGTTCCTCATGTTCGATCTTGTTACGAATATGGTCTAATTTGTATTTGATCACATTTACAAATAGTTTATAATCGATAAAAAAATAGTTGAAAGCAATTGTATTTCCTGTATCGGCCTGTTTGCCTTTGTATACTCTCTGTTTAACCAACTTGTCGTTCTTTAATCTCGCTAAAACATTTCGTAGTTGCTTCTTCTCAAATTTTAACAGATCAGAGAGATCATCTTCTTTCACACAAGTATGTTTAACAAGTAAATTAACAATGGCACTGTGTTCTGTTTCGTAAAAGGATTTAACCACAGTTAAAGCAAGGCGCTTTAGAATATCTGGAACTTCAGTCAAAAGTTCTGATTCGTCAACAGTTTGATTCATTTTAGAAAGAAGAAATCTTTCGAACAAGACTTCTTTAGCCGCGTGGAGAAGAGTAACTCTATTTGTGTGACAGTGATACACAACATTAATTGTTACTGTTGCCTTTTCCAGGGGGTACCATTTTTGAATAATACACTCATTAGTTTTACTTTTTAGTTTCGTTTGTGCGATTCAATCTTTTACGAGAGGTTGCAACTAGTAAGCATGATAAAACATATGTTTCGTGTCTTTGCTCAGTATGTGCAGTATGTAGTTTTATTTGCGCTTTTTGTATGCAAGTTTTGTGTGTTTCTGAAAAGGAAATACTATTTTTCCCAAGATTTTTCCAAGCTCTTTAGTCTTTACCCCCCTGTAAAATATCCTAAAATTTAAAATGGCGGATCTCGACAAGGTGAAAATATTAGTCGTTGGAGACTCAGGTATGAATAAAAGCGTAGAATGTTGAATTTAGTTCACGATTGATACTTAAATTTATCGCAAGAGAAAGTTATGATTCTGTAAGCACAGCTATGGGTAAAACACTACACCTTTCTATTAACATTACGCAGTTCTGATTTTAGTCCCTTTTAGTTCGTTTTGTTAATAAACTTCACTTGTCTGATGCGGCCGTAAATTACCGTATTTGGTTTATTTTATAAACTGTAACGGATATTTATGTGTTAAAGTTCATTTTTGTTGGGCAGGTGTTGGAAAAACGTCTTTCATTAATTTGATATGTCACAATGAAAAACTTCGAAGTCCTGCATGGACCATAGGCTGTTCTGTTGAAACTAAGGTAAATTTCGTCGAAACTCGTCTTCGAGAAAGAGCAAGATCAAATCAAGAAGCAGTGAGGTCAAGGGCTCTTTCTTCGTGTTTACGTCAAACTCCGTCCTTTCCATTCATATGCAGTACTGTAGCAAGCCAGTTTACTACTTGTGCTAAATATTTAAATATTTTGGTGTTCGGAGTGCACTCGCTGTAAAAGCAATAGATTTCTAAGAAAATAAAATTAATATTCAGAAATTTACATAGTGTAAGTAAATTTTTTGGCTGGCTACGCTACTGCTCACATGAGCTATTTAAATCTTACAAACCACCTTTAGAAAATGTGTATAATTTTTTTGAATCCAAGAACATAAGAATCTCTGTGATCAATGTCTTACTAATATCCTTTTAAATATCTTAGGTATTTGAGTACAAACGAGGAACTGCACAAGTAAAAGATTTCTTTATTGAATTATGGGATATTGGTGGCTCTGCCAGTCACAAATGCAGCAGATCAATATTCTACTCATCTATAAATGGTATGAAAGTCTATTTTTCCTCATTACAAGGTTTTGTATAATAGCTCAAGTATCATGTGATTTTTAGGTCTTATCTTGGTGCATGATTTGACCAATCGAAAGTCATATTGCAACCTTAGAAAATGGTTAGGTGAAGTTTTTGGTGCTGGTAGAGAAACATCTGGTAGTTGAAATGAATTGATACAATTTAAAGCATCTTTTTTTAGACACTAAAGTTGGCATGTGAAAATTTTTTAAATTGTTTCATTGAAATGAAGAGTTCAAATTTTCAGCTCGACTTTTTTAATAAATTCTTTTTGAGTGGTTTTGAGCAAAATCCATTTGCTTAGCTAAGTAGCAAGTTTTACTTCTGCTATGCAAGCAAGGATGTATTTGCATAGCCCAACTAAATGAATTGTTTGGCTACACCACTGTTACCACAGCTGAAATTGACACGTCATCATTTTTTCATTATTGTCATTCTCTTAAGTACATAGTAACACACTCATAATAATGTGTTTCTAGGAATGGGTTCTAGAAAAATTTCCAGAGCAAGGTACATTTAATGTCCATTTTCTCATCTCAAATGCTCAGTGTCCTTCAAACCAAAAGTTGTGTTTTGTGTAATAATGAACAATTGTTTGATTTTCACTTTGTCAGTTTTCTGATAATATTTAACAAATAATTGAATATTATCTACTTCCTGCATTGTATTAAACTACTAAAAACAGTATCTTGTAATCTTTGAATAGTTTGATAACTGATTTTGACAATGAAGATGAGTGTGATCCTGAACAATTGGCTGGTAATCAAATTCCTATTTTGATTGTTGGTACAAAAGCTGTAAGTATGTAAAGTTAACTGTTGTAGAAGAGCAAAACAATTCGTTTTGTCAGCTATGATTTTATGCCAATTTTTTGATCAATCACTGCAGGACCAGTCCGTATTATCAAATGCAAGCAATGTTCATGATTTAGCTGGTGAAGTTGGTGCAGATTGTTTATCTGTAGTAAGCGGAATATCACACATTTTATGAAGATGCTTTCTCACTTTCACTAGCCTAATTTTATTCTCTCACTTTAGGACTGCACAAGAACCGAACAACTATCAACAGGATCAACAAACCTACAGAAGTTCAATGCTTTCATCAACAAGGTTGGTCTGAAATTAAAATTTACATTTTTCTTGTTGATAAATGTCTGAAACCATTGTTTCTGTCATGAAAGGTTATTGAAAGAAGATATTTTCCAAGAGAAAAGTCACAGGTATTACTCTGTGGTGAACACTGTCCGTTTTTGGAAAATGGGCATGGCAGTTTGTATATTTCGAAGTACATTTAATATACGTTCATGCTTGTTGCATTTCATTAAACAAATGCATTCATTGACATTTTTTAGGCAACTATTCTGATGGATAACACTCGAACAGATAGCTGGAAGGACAGAAGTAATAAAAGAAAATATTTTTAATAGTTCTGCAATTTAAATTATAGTGATAATTTCTAGAAATTGCATCCCATTCGCCAGGACACTTGCTTTACACAGCATGACGTCAGGGGGGAACACTTGAGTAAATTGGGGGGGGCAGCAAAATGAGTTAAAACTAAAAACATAATTTATAATTTTGAGCAAAGGAGCTCAAAAGGAAATAAGATAGTGTATTTAAATATTTTGAGTCTAAAAGGTAAAAAATAACTCAATATGTACTATATTTGAAAATTATTTTTTTTGGGGGGGTACTGCTATCCACCATCCCCTAGTGTCTGTTATTGTCTCTCATGACATCAAAACACCTTAGTGTTGTTAAGCAATGGAGATTTGTGCAGTAACTGAGCGTCGCCATAATCACTCGTATGGTTTGTTTTGAGTTATTTTGTTTTGTTTTAATATTAACTGGAAAATTTGCACTTAATTTTGTTGACAGTGCGCTTAAGCGTGAGGTACTTATAGGAGTACATTGGATATGACGAAATAACGAGAGGGATAGCCGGCTTACCTCGAGGGCATGTTGAGGGTAATATGGGGGTGTTTGAGTTACGTTCTGAAATTCTGAATCTTATTATGTAATTATGTGAAATTGTGAAAGCGACTGGAAATAATGGCTGAGAAAGACGACAAAGAAGTAGAGCGAATTTCGAAAAAAGGTTGATTTCTTCTTCATTTTGTTGATTTCTTCAACATGTGACAATAAAGAAAGGTACCTAAGAATTGTAAGGCTAAATTTTTCCAGTCTATGTCCACGTAAACAGGGTCAAAAGATGAACAAAAAGTGGCAGTTAAACGCAAGTCAAACGACCCGCTTGACGATGAAAAGTACTCGTCGTCAAAAGTAAAAGTTGAAGAACCTTCTAGTAAGACGTTGAAGAGTGGCATTGCAATAAAAGTTGCACCATTGGTAAGAGAAATAGCTTGGATTGTGTGGTTTTGTTGTTTTGGCTTGAAGAGCTCCAGTGTGGGCCACGGGCGGTGGGGGGAGCACCTTTTGAATGCCTTTCCAGTAATGTCATTTTCTAGTTTCTTTCATGTGCATAGCAAACTGCTCTTTTTTTCTCAGAAATTGGTTATTTTTAACATATTGAGCTTCAGTTTTAATGATTTTATAGTACCGAAATGTCTTCGTGTTTATTTATAGAAATCAGCTGAAGCAAAAAAAGAAAAACTGAATGTTATATCAAAACCAAAGAAGGGTTCTATAGCTGCCGCTTTTAATGATGAGGTATTTGATACTTGCTTAGGATGTTGTTTGGATATTTGTGATCATCTTGGTATGTATGTTTGTGTTAGTGTATTAACTGTGTGCAATTACGTCTACCAAACAAAGAAGACATAGAAAGTTTGCTCAGAGAGTGGGTATGAGTTTATATGTATCTGCCTTATATGGTAAAATACATGGTAATGTGTTCTTCTGTTGCATATTGGGGTCAATAAAGATATTTGTGGTGTTTGGAGATATTGAAGATAGGTGTTGGGGGATAATTTAGGGATATATGTGTCAGTGGAATGCAAATTTGTTGATATTTTATGGTCATTAAAATGTCTTTGAATAAAACATTCTCATCAATTGATATTTTTATTTTCAGAGTGACGAGGAGGAAGAAATACCGAGGGAGGCAAAAATGAGAATGAGAAATATGGGAAAGTATGTGAAAATGAATGTTTGAATACATGAACCTGCAATGATTTTATATAGGGGAGGAGAGGGTGTATCTTGGTTTCTCTAACTGTCAGTACACCTACATAACTGCTCACAAAGCTATAGGAAGAGTGCTTCCGCCCCCCTGTCAGTAAACCTATCTAACTGCTTAAATGTTGACCACATAAACTTTTCAAATTTTGGTTTTTTGTAATTGTTCTGATTGTCTAAGACAAACTCAAACAATCTGTTTTTTAATGTGAATATGTAACCATTAGCTAATGGTTCAATGTATGTTTCAGAGACACTGTGACCTCCTCTGGGCCAAATTCTTTCAATAAAGGCAAACAAGGATTCACAAATCATAATAAACTTAAGGAGAAAGAAATGAAACTCTTGAAATAACTAATTCATTCAAGGTTGGTGGCTTTTATCCTCACCATTTCTTAGGAAATGTTTTTATAGCACTGCAGTGTATAGTTGTTCACATGCTATGTAAATGTTAATTCTGTATGGAATCATTATTTTATGAACTATCATTGAACTATGTACATATTATGTACAGTTGGTATTTCATATTCAAACAATTTTCCACATCTTGAAAACTGATGTTGAGAATATCCAAATTTAGTTTTTGAATTACTCACTTTGTCCCTCATTATACATTTAATATATGTATTGACTTTGAAACAAGTTTCAATATTTTGCAATGTAACTTCCACTCATTAATTAAATCATCCAACTTTACTTACTATGATGTAGTTCTTTTAATGGAAATGTTCATTTACTGCAGCCATAAATATGTTATTGGCATATGTATGTACCTCACTAAAAGCCTTTGTTCTCCGACCCCTCCAATGTCAATTTCATTATTTCCAACTCGAATCCACTGACTAAAACATAACCATTGACTCTGAGCCCACCCTGACTTTTGACTATATGTAACTCTAACCCATACATCAATTCCAACCCTTCTTAAACTTAATAAATACCACTCACAATAAACCAAGGACAACAGAACATTGATAATTGAGAGGGCTATAATCATATATTCATAATCCGTAAACACAATTGATTTCAATAGAAACGTATAAAGTAAAACATGCATGTATGAATAATAGCCTCCCAATTATCAATGTTCCGCCACCCTTGCAATAACCCCCCACCCTTGCAATAAACCCCTAATCTTCATTGACTCCAAGTTGCCACCACCAACTCAACCTCGTACCATCCTCCCACCAAAGCTTTTTCACTTCAAAACAAAGAGCCTGGGTACGAGAATGCTTTCGCATCAACTCCATTTCTAAACATTTAGAAATAACGCTGGCATATTGACATATAATATTTCCATATTGTGCACTTAATTAATATGCATATTAATTATGCATTAATTAATATGCAAACATTCCAAAGTGGAAACACGTGTTCCATACAAACAAAAAAACGTTATAATTGTAGATAATTACAACGAGATATTTGAAAATGACGAATGTTTTCACAGATTTTACATTTTCATTTATAAATATATGTTTTGACCCGTTTTCCGACATGTTATCGGTCTCTTTAAAGATATTTTTACCTGTTTGTATCACATTTAAAATCATCGTACTTTTGTCGCATTACTTTGGCTTGGGAGCAAGGAAACCTTTAATTACTGGTGGTAAAAGCGACAAAATGCGTAAGATTCTCGACAAACTATCAAAGAAAGTTAGTCCATTTCATCCAACTGTGTGGACATACGGTGGTAATCTACACACACTGTTTGGGGATATTTTACGTGGCCAACCGAAAGTGAACTATCAATATGAGAGTATAGTTGCGCCTGATGGCGGTGTCTTAAGATTGGATTGGACTTGTGATGATAATGAGGAATACATAGGACCGTCAAAGGCTACGAATAGTGAATCCAAAGTGGATGAAACACATGAATCAAAGACTGTAAATCCCTCCGTATTGAAAGAAGTACCTCAGAAACCAGAGGTTACGAACATTGTCCTTATTCTTCCCGGGTTGACAGGAGATTCTTCATCAGGTTACGCTTTGCAATTTGCAGAGGATGCTCTTGAGTTAGGTTACAAAGCTGTTGTAATGAACCATCGTGGTTTGTCTACAATCCCCACAACATATCGATTCTTTTGTGCTACCAACTGGGAAGATCTTGAGCTTACACTGAAGACAATACACCATAAATATCCTCGCTGTCGTATCTGTGCTGTGGGTGTGTCAATAGGTGGTATGGTCTTAACAAATTACCTTGTACAAAAAAGTATGAATAACGAGGAAACAGGTCTTGCTGCTGCTTTTGTCATTTCAATACCCGACTCATTTAAAGCAGCAAAATCATTGGAAAAACCTGTTCCATGTTTTATGTTTAATAGATATCTGACAAGGAAACTCAGGCATATCTTTGTTAGAAATGTACAAGGTCTGTTGAAGAATGGGATTAAGGTACCAGAGAAACATATAGTTGATGCTTCAAAAGCCACCACCATTAGGCAATTTGATGCAGCGGTTATAGCACCTATGTTTGGTTTTAGAGATGTTGATCATTACTATCATTCAGCATCCATTGTGGAGAAACCTATAGAAGATATCAGAACACCCTTATTGTTCCTTAGTGCTGTTGATGATGCATTTTCTCCTATTGAGCAAATTCCAGTGGAACGTATCAAGCACTGTGATAATGTTGCTTTGTTGTTAACACATACCGGTGGCCATGTTGGATTTCTTGAGGGTTTAATACCTTATGGTCGTAGTTACATGGATAGAGTGTATAAACATTTCATTCAAGCTGTGTTTGATGAAGGATAGAGAAGAAACTAGTGATGAACATTACTGGGTACATAGGGATAGAGTTTGCAAGCATTTTATTCAAGCTGTGTTTCATGAAGGATAGTTTAGATGAATAATTGGTGATGGATAATGCAGGGTAGAAAGGGATTTAGTTTATAGGCATTTCATTCAAGCTGTGTTTGATGATGGATAAAGGAGAAATTTGTGATGAAAGTTTTTAACATTTTTACTAGCAAAAAGTTGTAATTTTTTTAAATCAGTTGAGATCTGCTGGATGGAAACACAACTAGACATGAATTTTCAATTATTTATTAGAAAGGAGCAATTTTAATACTAACAAAACGTCATTTAAACATACTTAAACAATAAACAATTATTGTGTACAATAACAATATTCTAACTACCTACGTGCAAATATAGTGATGTGCAAACTTCTTAGTGCAGTGACTTCGTTTCGAAGTGTATTTGTGCTAATGTGCTGTCCTTTTTGTAGAACTTTTAATGTGAACGTTATTGATAACTACTTAATTGCTATATCATTTGATATTACTTAACCACTATTTGGTGTAATTTGTAACTAGTTAGTTTGTGCTATAAAATGGGAAATATTATACAATGACTAGGCATTGTGCTGTGCTTAATTTTTTTGTTTACATTGCAAAATAAATTCAATAAAATTATGCGTTATGATTCGTAGAAAAGAAATATAATGTGTCTAGAAATTTTGAACCTTAGTTCGATTGAGTGGTCCTGTTTTGGGATCGTATAAAATCATAAATATTTTTACATGCATGCGTAAGATTTGATAAAAGACTTCATACGTCGTCAATACGATACGATGTGTGTATGCGCGATAAAGGGCGGCTGCATAAGTGCTCAATAAAGAACTTTACTAATGTTTATAGAAAATTTGAATATTCAAAAAGTTTGTATCAATAAATGGTTGCGTGACTTGAATGTAAAGAAAAGTTTGTTTGAAAATCCTTATAACGAGAGACAAAGGATTACAATGTAAATGAGCGATGCCCTTGTTCTTATACAGGAGTTTTAAACCACGAAGGTCTGGTATTATACCAATTATAGTAGTACGGTGATGGTAGTACATCTTGATCGTACATACAGTATCCATAGTTGGGCATTGGACGAAATGGGAACGCCGTTCGTACTGGACTGCGCATGTCTGATGGTGATAAGCAGTACGATGATACGGAGGGCTTACTTTCTGTGGTCGATACGGAATAATTACTTCCCGGGTATTTCGTCCAAAATTGTTGTGGGTGAATGATCTGTGCGGGTTGGGTATATGACGATGGACGAATAGTTGTTGGGGAGTATGGTATGCTTGTACTTGTTTCTATCTCTGTTCTTGTCGTTGTCTTTCGTGGTTCTGACGTTTTGCTCTTGCGTCTCCGTGGACGGTATTTGTAATCAGGATGATCCTCCAGTAGTTTAGCGGTCAGTCGCTTCGCTTCCTTCACGTAAGGTCGTTTGTCTTTGTCGCTGAGTTTTCTCCAGGCCTCCCCCAACATCTTACTGATTACAGCATTATTTATTCCTAGAAAAGAAGTGTGTTTATAGCGATTATTAAAGTTCATTCAAAACTATGTTTTACAATATGCTTTTACTCTCCTGCAAACTTTGTAGTTTAATGAAACGAAAGCAATTGTCCGCGTTGAACTAAGTTTTTAAAATATTTGTTTGATAAATCAATAAAACGAGTAAAATTTTAATCAATGTCAGTTATAGTGATTGATTTAACGGTGTGATTATGGAGAATAAATTGTGATATTACGGCAAAATTGGGCAACTTAAGTAACCTTGAAATGTATCTACAAGTGTATCTATTTGAATGTCATATTTCTGTACTTTAAGCGACGTCTAAGAATTTCCTAATATCTAAATGAAATGGAAAGCCGGTTTCGTGTCTTCCCACTTTGAGGATGCGTTAACCATATCACATCTTGACAAGAACTACTTATTTCAATTCCTCGTTAGCTCAATTGTCACGACAACTTTGTTTGTTGCTGATTAACAACTAATTTTTGCGAGAGCAGTCCTTCTGCCATTGCTTTTGGGAAACTTTGCGCGGCTTTAAAGGCTCGGAACATTGACCTTCTCTGTAAGACTCATTGTCGCAACAAAGTGGGCAGGGCCTAAAATTTTCTTAATACATATAATATAATCAAGTATCGTTTGTTTGAGGAAGCTGTGAGTTCGATATTGGACCGCTACTTTTGAAAAATAATCAGATCTTTGGAGCCAGTTTTGTTCTGGCATTGTCTTTTCCCACTTAGCTAAAGTAGATTGTATGAGTGGTTTATGGTTATGTCTTCTATAGTTTGTGGTATTTGACTTCAAGTGAAGCTTTTAAATGGCTTCACGCAAACGGCCTTACCCTGACTTGTCGGCAAATTGTATTGTACATTAATAAATGCTACAGTTTAAGGCGTTATACATAGTTAGTGAACCTTCTGTAAGCTTTTTGAACGGTTGACCGTGAGTTTTGATGTTGAAAAATGTGGGCACGTTGTATTTTATGGTTGTGTTTTAAAGTCGTAGCTATTAACATTCAAACATCGCCTCTTTTAATGACTAATGTTATTTTGCGTTTAAAAGCGAAGCGGCCTCATGGGGAAGTTTTTTGTTGTGGAACTTTAATACGTGTCGCCTTGATGCAATGCAAGTATTTAACCACACTAGTCATACAAAACTTTCATCGTTTTCAACATACATTGATAGCTCTGAAAATTTGAAATATATATCTTTCGCTACACTTCTTTACTCTATAGCACTCTGTCTTCGTGCAAGAAAAGGGTGGTGAACTTGTAGCTTTGTTAGATCACACAAAGAAATTTTTGTTTAAATATTGCAGTCGTTTGATTTTACTTGGGTCAAGGTTAAAATCTCGAAGGTTATTTTGGTGCCTTTCAACTTTCCATACCTGGATTATTTTTCAGTATTTCGCATCTTTTTTCACGACTCCACAGCATAAAGCAATTCATCGGTCGTTTGATGTGAAGATCTTTTTGAGCCATTGATTTAGTTGTTTGAGTGGGTTGTTTGTATACTTGAAAATCGATGATTGTCTGTGTCTTTTATCGAAACAGCTGCGTTGTTGTTTCTTCTTTCTTGTGTTGTGTATTCGTTATTGCCGGAGTTTGGACGTATGTCGTGGATCGAGTTGATAGAACTGTGATATGAACGAACGATGGAGGCCGAATGATTGCATTGAGTTGGTCACAGTTGTCTTATTACGTATGCATATGCCACCCCGCTGATGTAAAGTGGATAAATTTACCATGATCTGAAAGAAAATGAACACAATGCCAATTGAAGAAGTTCACTCTTATTATAATTGTGTTATCAGCAGGCGAGCGTTGAATTCATTTAATTTCGTTTGACATTGAATAACAGTTTTCCAGTTTTTCTGGCATTTATTGCGTGAAGTATTGAACAATGTAGCTTGGATAAATGATGTACCATCATACACCCGTGGATAGCAGATTGTCAACGTGTCACCTTGCTGTATATTTCATATATTGCTAAACAATGCCTTGCAAACTACGCGATATAAACAGGCGAGCCGGAAAGATTCCCACGGCGCTGTTCTTTTTAATATAGCTACGAAACAACGCGTAAATAAGTAGAGAGGTCTTCAGTGAAGGTTTTAGCACTTTATTGTTGCAAAACATTTCATTTTCAGCTTGCAGCTCCTGGTAGTTTTCTTCATAATGCTTGTGTAGTGACTCATCTTTCATTTTCCTTTACATTCTGAAGTATTTAGGGAAACTGAAATCTATCTTTGTTATGCAAAAAATATACCATCTTAAATGTTTATACTTCGGCAAAGAAATAAATAAGATTCTTCTGCAGAATGATACTAAGTAATGTGTATTGATAACATTCCAATTCATATTAAATTCATCGCATTCCAAGATTTATAGATTTTTGATATATGAATGTTTTCCAGATTTGAAACCATTATAGTACATACAATGTGTTGAAGGTACGATTATACCTACAATGTATTAAAGAAATACAGTATAACATAATGCCATTTTGGCTGATGACGGCCATCACGAATGACTGACCATATTATAAAGGATTAAATGAACAAGCAGACAATGAGCCAACTCAGTACGTGTTGTATATCACTTTATTATGTTCTACAATGGCGTTTTATTCTTGTTTTCGTCAAATCATACATTCACACATATTGTATGGACGTTTTAACAATTCTTGGGACTTAAAAGTTTAACGATTATAATGTTTATCTGCCGACGATGGAAATTGTTTAATTGCCTTGTTTTAGTCTCCTTTTAGAATTTCCTACTGAGTAGAGACAGAAAACGTTTTGTTTACATATAAGAAAGAGGCTTAGTTTGTCATAAAATCATTTAAAATGAAAATAACAGCAGAATCCTGTCTCATTTATGACTAAAAGTGTCAGTCAAACTACTACGTCGTTCTTTTCATTAAATTAAAGTAGAGTTTATATACAAATCATGTTGGTATTTTTAATATACGATATAATAGAGCTATACATTTTTTATTTTGGTCCTTGCTTTCATTTATTTACATGTACATTTTGGTAATGCAAAACTTCATTGCAATGCTACGCGAAAAAGATATTTAAAATAACTAGAATAGTTGGCAAAGAAGAATCATAGCTAATTGTCGGGGGTCTTATGATTGATTTATTATAAACGTTACTTTAAAAATGCGGTGGTTAAGTTTTACTTGTAAAAAACGATGCGACTACCCTTCTAGAATTTCGTTTGTGCATCTTTTAAGCATCATCTTCACAAGAATTCATTCCGTTTCAAAAATGAAGAATGCAAAATATTACTTAAGGATTACACACACCTGTTCTTTTGTGGGAAGTTCACAATTGCTTACTGTTCATCCTTTATCGCGGTACGATTTGTCGCAACGTGAGGTTTTAATTACTTATCTATAAGATTGTGTTTGCAAGATAATCATCGGAATGCTGATGTATGAAGATGAATAAATAATATTATCTTGAATGTACACAACTTTCGTTAATGATTTGCCATTGAATTTTTACAAACTTTGCATTTGTAGGCACTGATGTTTAACTTCACAACTCCAATGTTGGCGATAGCAACAAAGCCTAATTTTGATAAATAAATCATGCGTTTAATAAAGCTTATCTTAAAATAACTGCAATTGCATTAACGGAAATTGTAGCATTTAGGTAATATGTTTAGTGTATTTTATGTGCTCGTAAACAATATAAGTGCAGGTTGAATATTAGTAGTAGAAATCTGAGAAGGGTTGTTGACTAACATGGACAAAGAACATCTACAAACATATTCGGAAGCAATAGATGTTTCGTGAAGCTGTGTGCTATATAAATCTTTCGTCATTATTGTTTGATAGTCAATTGATATCAATTAACTCAAAGGGTGCTCGTGGGAATTGTGAAAAATATATATATGTACTTTTTCCCACGTTTTAAACGAAAAATTTCTTTGTATCAAAAAAAGTCAATTATGATTAATTGACTTTATATTTACCCCTTCTGACGAATAAATCCTGCTTGTTATATAAAGGTATGGTAAATATGTGTGAATTTCACTATAACCATGTGAATAAAACTTGCTTTGTTATATGAAACGAAATTTTTGCTGTTTTGATTCCAAAAATGACTACCACTATGGATGTTGAAATGTTAGTCAACACCAGAACCAACAGTCAGTCTGCACTGACTTGAACGATCTCTACTACAAACATGTAAATTAAGCTTTCATTAAACAGAACTTTTAAACTACGGTAGACTTTCTAAAACAATTTTCACCTCTTTTTTTATACTCAAGACATTGAAATTTTTGACCTGTCCAATGTAAACAACCAGTGACGTCATATGACGTAATGAACATGAGTGATGAGGGAGGTATATTTTTTGATGTGGTACTTCAACTTAGCAGAGTTTCCTTCCTTGCGAAATGCTAATGACATAAAATTCTTTCCAAAGCAATTCATCTAAAATTTGCCGCCAGAAAACTGAAGAACATTTGACATTTTGCAGTGACTGCAACATGACGTCACTTACAATGTGACGTCACTTGCAACTTGACGTCACTGGTTGTTCGTAAACTGTAAATCGGACATAACAAACATCTCAATATCTTGAGAATGAAAATAAATATGCGTGGACTGTATTAAAATCTCCATTATCAATTTAAAAGTTCTGTTCAATCAACATTTAAAAAGCAAAACTTTCGTTTCATTGTACGATCATAAGAGCAGCAAGCTAAACACTTTCTTTCTATAAATGTTTGTAGATGTATATCATTCAGGTGTTATCAATTGGGTAATAAGTTTTTAAAACTTGTGAAAAAAGTGTTTATATTTTCTTTGCAACAATAGAATATTGTAATTCTAGAACCAATATTGCATTTCGTTGATTGTACGGTTCAAATCATAGACTTTCCTGTATAAGAGATTTTTGAAGCGTTCAAAAATATTGCTATCCAGTGGATAGTGCTATTCGGCCTTCGTGCTACCTGCTCCTGAGAAGGACTGTAGGTGTTGACTGACGTTTTGGGTCGTTATTCACTCCTTGGTTCAAACCAGTCACTTTCTCCCTATGGTAGAATTGAAGTTGAAACAGAGCTATCCTAAACAAAACGGAATTTATATCCTGTTAGTTTTTAATTATTTAGTATCATAGAAGGCAAAGAAATCCTTAGAGGAAACTTTGAGAATAGTTCATTTACAAATGGGAACTTCCACAAATTCATATCTTCTACAAACGTTTTAAGTAATCTGTATATGGATGGATGTATCGGTTTTTTCTTCACAGTAATTGGAATATTCTACAAGTCTCCTCAAATTACGTTTATTTTTATTTGAATGCAACAATGAATGTTCGTGGTTGGCATATTTAACTGACGTTTCTGACATGTGAAGGATGTAAAAATAATTTTAATTATATTGGGAAAGAAAGCGTTAATTGATAAAATTATCTGGGAATATTTTTCGTGTATCCGTGCCGTCTGTCGTGTGCTGATTTTAACTTGTTGTTTAACGTCTTTATGTTGTGGGCGCCATTAAATCGTGTGCGCCATTAAATCGTGTACTTATTTTCTACTTTGTCGTATGTTTATGTCAAACATGTTTTCATTTGTGTCATGATGAAGCCTATAGCTAATGCCTACTGTACTCTTACTATTGTTTTTCTTCAAGAGTCGATTGCACAACATTGAAAGAAAAACTTGTAGGTAGGAAATCTGCAAATCAACTCAAATTCGCAAACGTTTGTTTGTTGAGAACAGCTATATCTGATCATTCATGATGTTTAAGGTTACCCTCTTGTAAAATGATTTTTGAATACGTTCAACATTTTCTCCGTACAGTTTTTTGCTAAATACGAATTTAAAATCTTAAGCTTGTAGCTAATAATTTCCATTTTAGTTGTTCGCGGACGTGTCGGTGCCTTTTAAAAAATTAGTAATATTTCTGATGTTGCGTTTCATTTAGTCGAATTCTTTAGCTTACATAAATATCGGACATAGAATAAAGTCGATTCTTGCCGCTTTTAATTCTCATTATAAACTTATTGTTTCTTTAGACAATGATCTTTTTATACATATAATGGATCTACAGGAGGGTGAGAACTTTGTACTTTGTCGAAATAAAGTCTAGCTCTTTTCTTGCCTGTGTATTTGTTCTCCTTGGGAGGCAACGTTTACCCTAATCTTAATTATATAATTTCATTAAATTAACCTATTATTCCTATTTATGTCACGATTGCATTAGTTTTTACTGCTTGATCATTGTTATGATAGTATTTTCTCATACATACTTTCTTGTGGTGTATATTTAGGCATTGAAATTGTCATTGACAATGTTAAAAACATCATTTCTCGTCACGTAGTATGCAATTCACTCTTTAAGCCACATTGGAATTCATTTTTTCTTAAAATTGCTTACATATCGTAAACGTTAATTTAAAATTGTGTACGATCTTTCTTGACCTATATTGTGCGTAAATATTTTGGACTATAAACATGATTTTAGCCAGCCCAACAACACACTGTCCCTTGATTCTTTGAGTCTTAGGTTACATATTGTTCAACATTTAACATTTATTTTTGTCCGTATTTTCCCACGTATGTGTTGCCTTTGCAGATGAATCTTGAATGACTATATTACAAGTTTGGAGTGGTTATGTTATGTTTACAAACTTAATACATTCACTGTTTGTATACGTAGCTCAGACAGGTGCGGCAGAAATTCAATTTATCTAAGTGGCAATCTAGAATAAATTACGGCTTCCCGCAATGGTAGAATTATTTTTGGAAATTCATAGCCCTGAACTGAAGACCGATGATAAATAACTGGACTGTGAACATGTGTTTGTTTTCAAAGTCCATCTGCTACATTATATTTTGCCAAACGCAGGATTCTCTACTGACTTATCGTCAATCTCTTTATGACTGCAAGAAGTTGAGATTATGTTTACTGGCATAAAGAATTTCATCAGTTGGCGGACCTGACATGTGTTATCTTGTTTTTGTCGCCTGGAGAGTTAAGAATTTTTTGTTTTGAGCATGTTGATGTCGTACATTTTAATTTTAACAAAAATCGAAATGTATGAAATCAATTTTCGCAGACTGCGAGACCTTCTGACTAATCCAATCGCCTAAATCGGTTTATCCTTTCGACTTTTACAATTCTTTGTATCCAGAATTTGTAAATCAAATTCTTTGATTTACATAGATTAGAGATTAGGTAATCTTAGTTTAATCCATTACCCTTGCTTCCATATAAGTAAGCATGGAGATTTCGGTAAGTCACACGCTTTTGGTCATTAATTTTTAACTTTTATTGATTTATTTTTATCGTCAATCAAATATTCGTTGCCTTTTTTGTAAGGAAAAGATGGAGGGAAGTTTTGCGACTCCCGGTCATTTTTCTTTGGATATTATCGAAGAAGGCCGTCGAGATATTTATAAATGGGGAGAGAAGAGGCGGTCAAAACGCTCTGGTTTTCACGGAGCGCTTTATAAAACCACGAAATTGTTTATTACAAGATCGGTATGTCTACTTCCGATTACGTTTCTTTTCTTTATAATATTTATCTAACGCGCATTGTGAAATTTCATCGAATACAGGAATATGTTACAGCTTGGTTGAAGCATTATAATGTTGAACACGATGTTTAATGACTGTTTAATGACTCTTGTTTGCCATTTTTGTTTATTTTAAGTCAATTTACTGAAGACATTTACTGTACTTCAACCGGACTGACATTCCTTTTCAAAAGCTTTTGAAGTGAACATTAAATATTACGTAACTCAGTTCAAAGAAATCAGAAGCCAAAGTTCAACTTTTCCTACATTGCTAGGGGGAGAGCAAGAGTTAGCATGCCCCATTTCTTTCCCCTGTGAAATTTTTGTAATTTTGTCTACACTTGCTGAGAAAGTTTGAAATTATATTTTACAGTGAAAAGTAAGTTGATACAGTAAACAGGCCAGATTTAACTATTGTATTCAGAATCATTTTCACTGTAATCTGATTTAAGTGGGGATTCATGGAGGCCAATTTCTTCCCCTCACTGACTTTTCATGCTGACAGCTATTTTTGTACTTTTCGTTTTTGACACATCCTAAATGACTTTCTCCCATTTCATAAATCCAATGGATGCCCCTGTTTATTTAAACATTTTTAAATTGTCATGCATGATATTACATACCAACTGAATTTTAACTTTTCAACAGACTTCCTGTTCATTGCAGCATTGCATGAGTCGTACATCGACGTAAATACAGGCAGCTCTGTCTATAAAAATTGGATGGTGTTAATGAATTTGTTGTGTGCCATCTTGCCAATGTAAATAATTGAACAACACTTTGGAGGAACTACAAATCAATGACATGTTCTATAAAGTAGAAGAAAAAATATTTTACTAAACTTGTGTTTTTCTATTTCAGCTTGTTCAAGCTTCTTGCACGAATTTCATGTTTGTTGTGTTGTTCCAAATGTTGTTGGGTATACACAGCTGTTGATAACTTTAATTTTAAACTTATTGCACATATCTTTTATACAAAATCTTTCATTATATTTCAGCTGTATTACTCATTGTTGTGTAACTTCGGTAAGATGTAATAATCATGCGAAGACATTCTTTATAAACATGTGTGTGATGTGAAAATATTTTTTCAGGTCTTCAAATGGAAGTTCATATGAGTTTGTTTGTCTCACCAATTGTCTTTCCTCTTGCATTTTCCATAAATGGTAAGACAAGTTGGTCATGTGACAAAATTCATGTTCAATCTTGCAACTCCTTTAATTTCCACATGTCTGAACTTCTGGAGATTTTGTTGGGATTTATGAGTAATTATACCATCTAAAGTAAATGGTTTGAACCCGGGAGTATCGTTACATGTTTGTAAATATAGATCCTCAAGGTTTGTATAGTCCTGAGAAGGACTGTTTTTGTTGTTGTTGACTGACGTTTCGATGACTACCGCTAAGGTTGTTGAAATGTCAGTCAACAACAGTCTTTCAGGACTATACAACCTGGACATTTACATTTACAAACATATACCATCTAAATACACACATTATGAATAAAATTGAATTTGATTGTTGACAATTGAAGCCCACTTGACAATTAAGGTGCAATACCAACAGTTAGTTAAACCCTAAGTTTTTGTTTTACAATGCTGCTTTTCTCCAAAGTTATTGAATATTTGCTATTAAAAAGTTACTCTAACAATGACAGGTGAACAGTATGTTATTTCTAAGTTGAATCTTAGTCTGTCAAGTTCCTCTTGTGCAGTAGAGTGGGGGGGCGCACAGGAGGAGCCCCTTCTACCTTTGAAATGGATAAATTTTCATATTTAAACTTCAGCTTTGTCAAGAGAGCCATCCATCTGATAAATTTAGTTCTACAGCACTGCCAGCCAATGAATCTTGAACTAGGTAGACAACCAGCTTTGTCTGTAGTTAGATTATTTTGTTTTTTTTCTGTTGATTTTCTGGTTCTTACTCTGTGAAGAAACAAAAAGATATCCACCCTGAAATTTACATAACAGCAGTACCACACCAGTGTTGTAAAGCCACTTTAAATATGTACTTTCATTTAGCTCTTTAGTTGAAATTCTGTTGTTTGATATTTTTACATCTAATTCATTTCAGTACTTTGATATCCTACATCAGAATGTGACTACATAGTTTTATGAGTCAGCTGTAAAATTGAAAAATCATGTTTTGTTGCTTTTTCTTTAGCTAACTATCAACGTCGTGAATCTGTACTTGAAGACTTTAGCAATGTTTAAATCATCTTCTTTGGTTTTGTTCTTTTGTCACAGAGATTGATCGAAGCTGCGGGTTCAAGATTTGTCGTTAATACGAAACCTGCAATTTTAAATTAAAACACTTAATATTACTATTGTGAATTTTCTTATTTTCAATTTTGTGCTTTTTGCGTAAATTTACATAGTATAATGCAGTGTTTGATATATTTCTTTATGTTTTAGAATTGCCTGTCGATTTATTAAGACTTTGTCCAATAAGCTAAAATTTCTTGTCATAAATATAAGAGAGTTTCTCTTGACTGAGGAGTCCATGAAGCGGCAATATATCCTTAAGGTATCTTGTTTTCTACAAAGATGTTGTCAAGCAAATGGTTTGAACCGGGAGTATCGTTATATGTTTGTAAATGATGATCGTCCAGGTTAATAAAGTCCTGAGAAGGACTGTTTTTGTTGTTGATGACTGACGTTTCGACAACCTTAGCGGTAGTCATCTTCAGAGTCATTGATGACTACCGGATTGTCGAAACGTCAGTCAACTTCTTCAATCCTTCTCAAGACTTTATTAACCTATCATTAAACACTATAAATATTGTCAATAAATATGTTGCCTATCGAAAGGTTGTTTGTACGTGGAAATATTCTCAAAAGCATTATCGCTTCATTTAATAGGCAATTTATGAAGATTTAAGTGATGTCGCGCAGTTGAATGACAAAATTCGCACATCGACCCTCAAAAGTAACTCTGCGTTGGTAGCTCGTATCATACATTGTCACAAGTAAGTTCAGAGATTTTATACATAGAGATATTTCTTATCACTCGCAGAAATCTTCTCCAGTTTGGAATTCTGGAAATAATCATGGATAAAACCCAGAATTACATTATATAATTAACGGAAGAAAAGTATACTTTTCTTTGTTTTTAGTTTAATGTGTTGGTCTTTGAAACTTCGTGTCATCCGGGAATACAGCTCTCCCCGGTCCCTTCGCGCCTTTACTAAAGTTTTCATCTTCTTGATGCCTTTACTACTGTCTCCGTATTATGTGTACAGCGGTAATCAGACTGAGAGTACATGGGCGCCTTACTACTTAAGTGTTATGGTGTCTTTTCTATTTGGATCTCTTCAAGCTGTTCAGGATAAATTGGATGATCCATTTGATGGTATTGGTGAAGATGATGTTAAGTTAGAACAGGTAAGTTGTATTTTAAATATTCTTCACTTGTTTGTCGATTCTTGTTAAATAATCTTATCATTCGTTCCAGCTTGATGATTGGACAACTCATTCTTTATTAACAAACAGAACGGTTACGATTGGTCAGTTTACCGTCACGACGCAAACAGCAGCCAATGAGAACAACAGAAGTACATCACCTATTGCAAACGTTGAATGATGAACATTCTCCTAAAAATTTTATTGAAAATGGATCACAAGAAAGCCGTCGCTTTACTTTTCAGGCGGAAGGTTCGCCCAACAAATTAAGACGAATATTTCCGAGGAAGTCCGAACGAAATACGGAAGGTGCGATTGTTAAGATCTTTTGACTGGAAATTCTGAGAACATTTGAGTTGGAGTGCATTTATTTTGTATAGAAATTGGAAGCAATAAATTCTTATTTAGACTTAGTTACCGTTAATTTAACGGTCTTCTCTTAAAGAAGTGAGAACACGTCAAGTTTATATAAACAAAGCCAAATAGAGCACTAAAATGTCCTCGATGCTCATTTGTAGCATTACATCTGTTGCTGAAACACGTGTTGTCATGGTAACATCTGTTGCTAGCGCAACATGCTATATTTTTTTAACGTTTCATTGTTTTCAGGTCGAAAACTACCAAAGATAGAACTAACTGAAAATGAGTTTACGGATGAGCTCGAGTCTCGTTGCCATGGTATCGCATCTAAATTAGAAGGAAAGATGTTGTGCTTCCTGGCAATCGAATACCGTACATTTATAATGAATATGAGGGAATCGCCTCACCAGAAACAGATATAAAGTTAACAAAGGACGACTTGGCCGCGTTAACGAACGAATCGTAGATAGATCTTTGATAAAAAGGATCATGGTGATGATTTTATTTGAAACAGTTGTTTTGTTTGCAAAAAGTTGTTCCTCTGGGTATTTCATGTTTATAAGTCCGTCAATCTGCTTTTCGTTCATATTGTTGTTCGCTCGTGTAAGTTGCGGATCATACCCGTGTTATTTTATGGAAAATTTAATTTAAAATAAGCTGATACGATGACATTTGTTTTTTTTTGATACATCAGTGTTTATCAATTCATTGTTTTTAATGGTGGAAACTTTTGCCTTTAAAATCATTGTTACTATATATCCATTGAACAATTTTACAAAACATGTTTAAGTTTGATTGAAAACTTAATGGGATGGGAAACAAAGAACCTAGGTTCTAATCTCTCATTTCTAGGTTTTAATCTAGGTGGTTAGTGATTAGATTAGTGATAAGTGATTAATCACTAGGTTCTAATTCCTAGTGATTAGAACTTAAGGTTCCAATCTAGGTGATTAGTGATTAAATTAGTGATAAGTGATTAATCACTAGGTTCTGATTCCTAGTGATTAGAACTTAAGGTTCCAATCTGGGTGATTAGTGATTAAATTAGTGATAAGTGATTAATCACTAGGTTCTAATTCTAGTGATTAGAACTTAAAGTTCTCACCACTCCTAAAACGCTCCTAAAACTGTCCTCTCATTTTTATTTACCACTATCGTTCATTCTGATGTAGATATCGAGAATGAAAAGTTCAATAAAACATTATTGAAGGTTCCTGAACAAATTCTGCAGTATAAAAAGTCCGATCTTTCAATAAAACGTGAAGAAACGCAGGAAAAACGGCCTTCAGTGTTGGGTATGTTTTCTACATCTCATTCTGATACCAATATTGAGGTAAGTGGCAATCTTTCTAGTGCTCCCGAAGTCTTCTCGCCTTCTACCGATTTATCTTCGGATAAAGCCGACGTACATTCGGCTAGTAGAGGCAATACACCATCACGAACTAATTCATCGAAGAATTTACTATCAATAAGAGACGAGCGTGCTACTGCGGTACAACCGGTCAGCCGTTTTAAGACCGAAAAAACTATACCGCAAAAAAGTCAACGGAATGGTGGTGAATTATCATCCGTGAGTGATACTTTACCGCCTCTACGGTTTTGTTTGCCGGGTAAAAATCTCCGCAGCAAAAATAAAGGTGGGAGATCGAAGGGTCGTAAACGGGCGAAAAAAGGTGTTAAAGAAGAAACTAAGTTGCCTTCAGAAAGCGTGCATCTTAGTGACTTTAACTCGCGATCGCCATTGCTATTACGTCATTACGATAGCGATGACCTCATTGAGGTATCTGAAGTGGATGCTAATAATGATGAGAAACTGTCAAATTCGGATTCTGGGAATGATGTTAATGGGCAAACTGAAAATGCTTCAGAAGGTTCAGTGGAACTCGCATCTGATGATGAAAATAATGGATTTATTGGTGATTGCGAAACTAAATTTTTATCAAATGATGAAAGAACTGCTCAATCTGAGACTGTGAAGCAGGATGACATTGATAAATGGGATTTTGACATTGATGATAGTTCCACTAAACAAGATATTGAAAGATCACCTAAGGTTAATTCAAAGGTTGATGAAGACATTAAAGAAGAAAGATCTAGTCTACTATCACCTCCTTCTAAAGAAAATGGCTGTTCTCGTTTCCATGTGTTAAAAAGCACTGAAAATCTGTCAGATACGAAGGAAAACAGTTCTCTGTCAAGTCGTTTTACTGTCTCGCGTTCTTAGTTGTAAATACATCCTGTCTGCTGTATTTATTGTATGATCTGTTGACTTGCTCTAAATTAAGTTAATAAAACGATAATTTATATATTTCATTATTTTGTACTGCTCTGAATTACTAATTCAAATAATTTATACATTTTGACAATAATACGTTTTTGTACTGTTTGGTAGAGAGAAGGAAGAAAATAAATATGTTTTATTGTGACTAGTGATGGATCACTAATTGTTTAAAAATTGAATATTATGAAAAACTAATTCTCTTCAAATTTTTTTAATTAAGCTTTTTTTCCTGTAGTGGCAAGTATACGATAAGTCGTTCTCAGCTTTTCTTCAAAAATATATTTTCATGTTTTAAAGTAAATTTCGTCAAAAAACTTCTATTTTTTATTTATCACGAAACATTATGTTGTCTCTCTCTTAGGGTTTTACTAAAATCCTCAAACCTCTCCAAGAATTGCGCAAACCAGCGCAAACAGTAGAAAAACATCTTTTATTTCTTTTATAGAATAAGAATAATACGGGAAAAAATGAATTGGAAGCAAGCGTTTTGATTTTTTCTCCAACATGTTTTCGTGATTGTTTTGCAAATTCTCTTTCATTGATTTAATTGATTGAGCTCAGATGATTTTACATAGGCCAATGCAGACCCAGCTGTAGGCCAATCAGCGCGCGCGTTTTATTACCGTTATTATTTTATAATTTGTTTCGAGGAAAAGCATCCATAATTTTTATTCATGATCACCGTCCTTCATTTCAATATCGAACACAACAGGTTTGTTCACTGGTCTGTACATAAGATTACATGTTGAGGCGTTTATATAAGTTGTCGTACCATCTGATGATACTCCATAACCTAAAGAATAAAGCTTAAACTTGGCGGCTGTTCACTTGATCACGTGCAAATGGTTCAGCGAGGCGTGAAATGACGTTGAGTCATTGAAAGGAGTAAAAATGTTAGGCGCAACAATCACAACCTTTTCTTCGGTGTCATAAGTCATTTTAGTTGTAATTTTCAAATCAGGCTAAATTATTTGTTTTTGTTTTAAAGGTTTTGTAAGTATGCAAAGTGAGAGCATAGAGAAATTGCTCAAATAAGTTTTTTCTTGTGAAGTATTTAATCTTTGTTTTGAATATTAGGGCAATATAGTTGTATCATGATATGGATATTTATAAAACTGGTTTAAAGAGTTTTACCTTCATGTATATGCCCAAAGATATGGTATCTTGGCTTCACATGATTTTGAACAATACGATGATTTTGAAAGGAGTAAAAATGTTTCACATTGCTTCACATGATTTTGAAAGGAGTAAAAATGTTAGGCGCAACAATCTGAGCTTCACATGATTTTGAACAATACGATGATTTTGAAAGGAGTAAAAATGTTTCACATTGCTTCACATGATTTTGAAAGGAGTAAAAATGTTAGGCGCAATCATCTGAGCTTCACATGATTTTGAACAATACGATGATTTTGAAAGGAGTAAAAATGTTTCACAATGCTTCACATGATTTTGAAAGGAGTAAAAATGTTAGGCGCAACAATTACAACCTTTTCTTCGGTGTCATAAGTCATTTTAGTTGTAATTTTCAAATCAGGCTAAATTATTTGTTTTTGTTTTAAAGGTTTTGTAAGTATGCAAAGTGAGAGCATAGAGAAATTGCTCAAATAAGTTTTCTTGTGAAGTATTTAATCTTTTCCATTTGCCTAAATGATTTAATGCTTTGCTGACTCTCGGCTACTGGGCTTATGTAAACAGCCCCTTACAGTTCATCACCAGCATTAGGATGTTTCAATTAAAAAACCTTAATTTGTTTTGAATATTAGGGCAATATAGTTGTATCATGATATGGATATTTATAAAACTGGTTTAAAGAGTTTTACCTTCATGTATATGCCCAAAGATATGGTATCTTGGCTTCACATGATTTTGAACAATACGAAGAAGATTGACACAGCCAGCATGAGTTCGAGTGTAAGTCTTGTCACCTCTGCCTGTTTGCAAGAAATAAAGTGAAGATAATGATGTGAACATAGTGGATAACTGAGGATTTGAGGGTACGTAGAGGAGGATGTGAACATAGTGGATAATAATGTGAACATAGTGGATAAATGAGGATTTGAGGGTACCTAGAGAAGGATGGGAACATAGTGGATAAATGAGGATTTGAGGGTACCTAGAGGAGGATGGGAACATAGTGGATAAATGAGGATTTTAGAGTACCTAGAGGAGGACCATGGGTAATCAATATGTCAATATTGGCAGGAATTTTCTTCCACATGGTGTTGATGTCTTCGCCACGCTTTTTAAGAAATGCCCAATCATGGAACACAGGTGTCCTAAAATAAAATTTTAGAATTTTATCTAAGGAAGAGAGGTTTAGAAGCCTGATATACTGAACAAAGGATGGCAACAATGTACAATTTCAACCGGGATGTGAATGTTGACTGGGTAAAACATTCAAGTGATAGTTTCAGCTGTCTTGTATTACCAAGGTGAGCCATAAATTTTTATGCCATGAATTTCAATAAGAGAATCCTGTAAATAATTACAACCACTCAATTCCCCTTTTATTGTAGCTTCAGGAAAGAAATGACGACGATGTAGTCTCTTAGCTGTTTCTTCATGAAAACCAATGTCATGGTTGCCTGCAATTACGATTTTATGTTCATGCTTTAAATTCTTTAAAAATTCATTAAATCTCCTAACTTCGTCAAATGTTCCATGTTTTATAAAATCTCCTGCATGAATGAGGATGTCGCCGTCAGGAATATCCTTCAACGTTCCTTCGGTTGCATTATGCGTGTCGGAGATACAGACTATCCTGACATGATTATCTTTTTTAGGTTCATTATAGGGCAGAGTGACGTCCACGAATTGTTGAGATTTCGATTCAATACTCCAAGCTTTATTTGGATTTTCTTCAAGTGGAGAATCCGATGAACTTATAAAGATATTTTTCAACCTTGAACATATTGACATCCTTGGCTGTGAAAAATCCTATCAACTAAAATTTCCAGGTATAAAATTACAGAATTTTTCAGTTTCGTAGTTTACATTTTTCCTTGTCTCAATTTTGATGTAAATAAACCTGCTTTTGCTTGTTACACCTGTCGCAAACTAACTTCACCTTAAAGCCGGGCGTATTTTTTGTCGTATCAATTCGCCTACAATCTTTGTTTTTTGTCTTCTTCGCCTCAGCTAATCATCTACCAGTTGTGTCTAATTTATCCTCTTTTCTCAGACAAACTAACTTCGTTTCCTCTGTCAATGTATCTATATGGAGTATGGACCTGTTAATAAAACCTCTTTAATTTGTTTTGCTAAAAGTATAACTTATATAAACAGTCTTTACGGATTTAAATTTTGCCTGACCAGTTGCTTGCATTGCATAAAATGAAATACAAAATAAAATTCATTTCACCCATGAAATGTCGTATTCATTCTAGCTCGTGAATGCGACATGTGAAGTCTCGCAGATGTTAAATCAGAAACTTTGAAATGGCACAAAAAAGATGTTTTTTATTTAAACCTAGTGCTTAATCTCGCCAATTATCAAGATGCTACGGAAATGCTGTGTTTGGTGATAAGATAATTAATTTTCGCACCAAATACAGACATATTTTGTACTTAATTCCTTTGATATAGCTAATAAACAGCGCCTTATCGTGGTCTCGCAGAGTTCTAACTCCACGGCTTTAGTAGTTAGTTTTTTCAATGTTTTATCTTGTCGTTCATAATTTTGTACACTTATCAAAACTGAGAACATCTGAAGATCCTATAAACCTTGATAGATAAATATTACTGGTAAAAAGATGAAGGGTATAGGCTATATAACCATGTTTGTTTTTTTGTTAAATACACTAACTGTTGTGAAGAATTCACGATGCATTTTTTACGTAAATTATTGTTTATTCTGCCAGAAGAAAGTATTTGATTTCATATTTTAAATTTCTCAATATTGTTCATATACTTTGATTTCAATAATTAAAGCAAATATGGATAAATTTTCCTAAACTTTAATAAAAAATCAATATATACGAAGTGAAATAGCTATTGGCATCGCGTCATCGTTTACTCTTTTCGCTCTGGGTGTCGTAGAAATCTTGATGATACTTGATGACCTTTGTAATTGGATAAATTTTTTAAGATACTTATGCTTTAGATGAAGTATGGTTTAAATTTATTGCACATTTAAATATTCTGGTAATTGTTTGTGTTTAAACGTGTCAATGAGCTGGAAAGGAATATTTTTATGGCAATTTTGTCGCGTGTAATCATACAGCGTTTTATAAACAAGACATGGTTGCTGTCGTTATTTTTAAACGTTTAACACCTTCAAGATTTTACAAGATGTGTCAAAATTGATTTAATTAACGTCTACTATGAGATGGTATCGGTTTACATTATAGCATCAATCTCTGCTTTATCGGCATCGCGTCCCAAGTATTAATACGCTTTGAATCATTTCGTGACGCGTTTTGGCATGCAGTTGGTGCGCAAAATGAATCTTTTATTATTGATGTTGATATTGCTGGAGTATTTTACTACTGTTCAATGCTATGGTAAGAAATGGTTGTTTTAGAGAGTGTTTCGATATGTGGTAGATTAGTCTGTATGATTTGATAGCGTGTGAGCAGTAATTGTAAAATATTTTCCTGATAAAACAAATTGGTGGTCAATTTCTTCCCTTGTTGTATACAATACATAAAATCTGCAGTTGCTTTATGTAGGCTGTACATTTTATTTAAATATGACCTGTTCTTGCTGTGTTTTGGAATGTGTTAACGAGCGAAAGTGATGAAAAATGATCTGTTTTTCTATGCATGTTTTTGCCTGTCTGCAATACTTGAAAATCATAAAGTATGTTCAACATTGGTAGACTAACCAATATCTTGTATTGAAGATTTTCCTACTGTTAATTGTTCAGTATAACTCGACTGTATGCGAATGGTTTATGATATGCTGTTGACGGTTAAACTTCTAAAGTGTTAAAACTGGTGCATACAGTACTTTCCATTCAATGTTTCAATGCTATTCCGCTTTTACTTACACTTAATGTTCGAAGTCTGTTGGGCAATAAAAAGCTTTTGTTAAGAAGTACAATGTACGAATCATGCGCAACTTTGCCATTATATTAGTCTACGGAACTTATTAACTTTGTACTTGTACAGGTCTACGGAATTTTTTATTCACGGATTTGGTAAAATCATAAAAACTTTTGAATTCCTCACTAGAGTAAAATGGAGGCTTTTTACTTGGTTTACAAGTGAACTTGTGCTCAGTCAAAGGTATTTGAACCATTTATTGATACTCAACATGATTTAATGAAATCATATTGAAGTATTTACATTTTCACGGAGTGTTGAAAGTCAGAATTATTGTTCAAAGACATCTCCCGCGCGTGAAATATGTTAAAAATACAAAAATATTTGCTGTAAAAATAACCTCTGTGATCGTAGGGTGTCGTGAATGTTTCGGCGTGTACTCGTGCTTTTCTCGTTTTTCGTAGTGGAAATTACATTATTACTGGAGGGAAAAGTCGCAAAAAAGATGTAAAAAATTTTGTGGTCATTTTATGTTATTTTAAGATCAACAAAGTCAGGTGTTTTATTTCTCTAACTTTTTCTGTTTCTTTTAGGTAAAAAAGTGAGAATAGTCTGTGAGGGATCTGTCTTGAACATAGATTGTCCTCTTGCTCAAAAGATTCGCATGTTTTCGGCGAATTTTGGTAGAACTAATAAAAACTTGTGTGCGTTGAAGAACCAGAGCTACGATGATGTCAATTGTGTATCGAAGAAAGCAAAGACAATTATTTATCAAAAATGCGAGGATAAAATATTTTGTGTTGTAAGAGCAAATTCTTCTGTGTTCGGTGAAGATTCTTGTCCTGGAGTCATTAAGTACATTGATGTCATTTATGAATGTGGTGAGTTTTTTGATTACTTTTAAGATAATTCAGTAAACTATTGCAAAGTAAATCTTTGTCAATTCATGTGAGTTTTGAGATACCTAGATGAATGAAGTGGAAAGTGCCTTCAGGAAGGGGAGATGTGCTCCTGGGAAAGGAGAGGAGGGTTTCCCACAAGTGGAGGAAAGGGTGCCTGCAGGAAAGAAGGGGAGAGTTTCCGAAGGAAGAGGAAAGAAGTTGCCTGTAGGAAGCGAGGAGAATTGGGAAGAGTGTGTGACGTATTAATGGAATTATTCACGAAACAACCGATATTTCAATTTGTGACTTTCATAACGACATTAATATTTGTCGAAACATTGAAAGACGTTTGATATTTTTTTATGTAGTCAGTGTTTATAAAACTTCAAGAAAACCAGCATCTGTAACACCGCCATTGATTAAAACAACCCAGTTAAAAACAACATTAGCAAAAACAACGATGAAGACAAGAGACAATTTAACGACAGTCCAACCAAATGAAGGCCGAATTGTAAATGTTGATGTTCCAATCGTCAACAAACCAAATGAAACGATACCAGCTGCAAGCAGTCGTAAGATAAATGATTTTAATTTTTTTCGTTCTGTTTTGGTTATGCTGGTTTTACTCAAAGGTATAAAGTTATGGTATTGCTCATTGCTCATCTTTTAATTCGATTTTTATTGAAGTACTTTTTACAATTTTTGCCAGATAAGCCAAACCATTCATTACTGAGTGTGCTGATCGGTGTGGCCGCGGGCTCAGTTGTAGCTTTAGCTACAGTGTTAATATGTGTATGTGTGGGCAAAAAACGTAAATCTAAAAAGTCATCTGATATCGAAGGCGACCACAAGAACGATGGTGCTATTGAACTTGAAAAAAGCGAACTATTGGCGAGGGAGATGAAGGAAAATAATGATAACAAAACGGCTAAAACAGATGATCAAGTAGATTCGGCATTTTGTGATGATGATTTAGATGGCAATTTATCCAATGGTTATGAAACGACGTCAGATTTAGCTTATTTAGATGCTTATCTTGAGGAATATAATAAAAATCGCAGTCTCCCCAGACCTCCTGTTGACTGCAATAGCAATAGTAGCACACTGCGCATGTCTCGTGGAAGTTACAATGACGGGATGAAAGGTCTTGGTTATGATTACATTGTAAAAAATCATGGAAATTTTTCCACTTTTTCAAAAAGATGATTTTTGAATAAAGGAGGACAGAAATATTCCTTTTAGACTTTCAAATGTCAACTTTATTTCTTTAAACATCAATATTTAACGAAATATTGTGATACTAATGAAAAATATTTTTCAAAAGAGATAACCGACAAATTTTAGGTTATTTCATTTATTCGTTTTCTATAGTTGACATGCTGTAGTTCGTTTGAGTTCAATAAATGAAAGACAGCTGTTTTATATTGTTTGTAATCTTTATGCATTCCGATTGTGCTGGCGAAAACTATGTCATGGAGTTAAATTTAGAACTACTAGCTAATGAGCTAATTATATATATGTGTGTGATATGGTTGATGCTGTGTCCTATGATGTTTTAGAGCAATTATACGACTATATCGATATAAAAAGTTTACTATGTACACATGACATTTCTGACAGCAAATTTGGTTTTACTTCATAAATTCTTGAAATGAAAGAGTGAAGAATGTTAAAGAAAGCAAATGGGTTGTAAGTTAGCGTTCTTAGCGCTTGCGTTAGGATTTGGCTACCAAGATAAGTCTGGCTAAGTTTTTTTTAAGTAATTAACCACAGTCATTTCTTGAAGTCTTGAAGTTGGATTTGCTGTCGTTATTTTATCTTATGAGCCTGCAGTACTTCTGCGCTGAACATTGTACTCCGCTAAACTGCACTTGTACTTTTTTAACCATAGATATAGTAAGTCTAGATTGCTAACAAGCCGCCATATTGCGCGATATTCATGATAAATCCAAGATGGCGTGGGAACGAGGCAAAAACACAGAGTTACTATAGGGCAATTGACGTTTTCGCAATTTAAGTCTTCGTTTATTTTTGTTGACAAACGCCTCGAGACAACCAAACGACCAATTTACACAACATTTCGCAAGCGATATTTTTGCACGTATTTCCATAATAATTGTCCAATGTGACTTCAAAACATTATTAATAACTTAGTAACGCCTTGTTTCTAATAAAACTTGATTGAAAGAGTTTGAAAACACTGAAACGAAGTAAACTGCGAAAAACAACAATTGCCTAATAGTAGCCCTAAGTTTTTTGCCCGGTTCCCGCGCCATCTTGGATTTATCATGAATGTCGCGCTGCCGTCTTAATAAGTCTTATATTACGTCACCCTCGTCAGCGATCTAGTTCTATTATATCTATGCTTTTACCCTTCTTTCACCATGATGGTAGAGAATTGATCCACTCATTAAGTTAAATGTCATGCAAATATTTGTAGCTATAAAACTGCTTTGTCACAAGATACCAAGTTATCGGAATTAAAGATAAAGCTTTTCTACCTTCACGATAAGCAATAATTAAAATGACGTCACCCCCAAATTTAGAAGATGACGTTGAAAAAAGTGAGTTGATTAAAACGTGATCATTTTATCGACAAATTACGTTGTCAGAAGTTAACCATACAAACAGATATCATAAATTATAAACCACTTAACCATGCACTCTATGACCTGTAACCGAAATAATTGAACGGCATTTCTTTGTAATTTTAAAATTGTCATCTGAATAGGAATTCGCATTGTGAGAGTTGTTCAAAAACGTTTAACCATATCTATCATTAAACATTCATTAAAGCAATCATTCATTATACAAGAACGTGAATCACACAGCTTTCATTAAACATTCATTAAAGAACGCCAATTGAGTACGATTCATCAGATAAATATAAAATTAGTATAAAGTTAGACACAACATGCAATTTAAGTATTCGGTCAGAGATTTTCAAATTTCTTCTTTTATATAAATGAACTCAATGTTATATACCAATACGACAAGGACAATTGTAACCTCATTTAACTACATCTCATCACTCAAAATAACAATTGGGGAAGATGGTGTTTACTGACTGTGGTTTTAGCCCTTGAACTCAATAAAACAAAAACAGAATACTTTTCGAGTAAATTACTCGAGTAATGTTATCCTAAAGATAAGCGAAGACAAAAGATTAAATCTGCCAAAGTTAAAGAAACCAAAGGACAAAAAAATATTCAGAAAATTCTGATTTCTCAGACTTTGTAAGCCTTTATGATGTTATGAGCTCGAGACTCAATAAACATTTTAAATAAACGACAACATTCTTCAATTTTATATTTTTTCTAATTACAGGCATGTTTCGACTTAAGTGTATCTGTAAGTCATCTTCAGTGTGAATAGTTATGTTATTTACAGGCATAACCAACTGAATATCTTTAGGAAGTTTGCGCAGTTGGTATGTCCTTTGATAAGCTTCCTGCTTTCATGGCAACTTTACAGCTACTCTTAAATAAAATGTACGTTACTCAGTTTTTAATTCATTTAACGTTTTAGGAGCTAGATTGCTAACGCATTGAACAATTGTTCATTAAATATTCTTAACTTTTTGAAATTCCCTTATACAAAGAATACAGGCGCTGGTTAATGAATACAACAATAAATTAGATGCAATTAACTAGCCATTTTAACTTGCGTGTTTGAAAATATTTCAGTTCAACGCCTAAGAACTTTGATCGCCGACGGGTGCGTTATTGTGTTGATTTCAATGTTAGAACAGAGTTATGTTAAATTCCCAGGAGCAGTTGTAAAAACGATTTGTAATAAATGCATTGAGCTGACAATCGTGTAGGCATACACAGGCTTAGAAAGTTGATATGGCATTGCAATTATAGCAATAGATTAATTTCTAATGATCTCCTTTTTATATACGTCCTGTACAATTGACAGCATGCCTAGGAACTGACCAATCAGAAGACAAAAGATTTGTGCATTTTGTGGCATATTTTGAAATTAACTCAGAGAACATGTGACCTGACGTTTGAATCTACCATCATTTCATTTAATACTGACATGAAGAAAAGTTAATAGAAATACAAATGACGCTTGTGTGAAAAGTTTGTTTGAGTTCTTTGAAAGCAAATTTAGGTAAATGTATTTTTGATGCTCATTTTGACGGAGTACTTTTTGCATCAAAGCTCAAAATATGAACGATATGTGAAACCTAAATATTTCTTGCCATCGAGTTTTCGATTTAGAAACTAATGTTTGTTCTATGCTTGAATATAGACTTGAAAGTTATTTTGTTGTGCGGCAAATGATCACCAAATATTATGGAGAAACAAAGATTAAATGTTGTTAGTTTATGAATGTGGACTCGTACGTATAACTAAAGAAAGTATTTATTGTTGACGATGGACATTGATGTGGCATTTAGAAGCTGAGCTACACGTACCTTAATAACAAACATTTTGTACAATGCAGTGATTAAACTCTGTAAATTTGCTTAAAATTCTACTTGCCTTCAACTGCTTTAACTTTTGCATACCGTCGTCCCACACGAAGCAAAATGAAATGAAACTCCATGGACGAGAATATTCAGCATTCAAAGAGTAAAAACTAAACATGATGTTCAATGTAAGTAATTTTTTTCTTTACTATTTTTGTCTGTAAAATTTTAAAAAAATATCTTGAACTAACATTTACATTAATTATTTCATTTAGAAGTCCTTTGAACAAAGATCAAGTGTAAACAAAAGATGGTAGTCTTAAGAAATGCTTTCATCAGCTCAACATGAGTGTCAATACACAAGTCACTGTTTTATTAAACTATGAATGTTCTAAAACGTTTTTTCTGGACATTCTGTCAAGATTACAATTCCTGCTTGATCAATTAATCACAAAGACAAGTCAATTATAAACTACGATTTATCATGGTAAGAAAAATACTCTTAAGTCTTTCACAACAGCAGAATATACACACCCAATTGTTATAAATATGTAATTTTTGTATAATTTTCTTTTGCAGATGAATAGAGCTCCGCTATCATCGAATGTCTAAATGTACAAATCAGTTGAATTGTGAAATTCTTCGAGAGAAAAACAGAGATTTTCATTTGTCATTTTCTTGAGAATGACAAATTAAAAGTTAGCAGTCGTAATTTTCGGACTGACTGTCCATATTTCTAATATTTATACCGAATGCCATGCCCAACCAAAAAATATAGAGTGTTTTCTTTCTGTGCATGTCGTCGTTGACATGAAACTGGGAATGTTTGTGATATAGCATGAAATTGGATACGATGGTTGTACCTTATGAACGTTATGAATTTTCTTAAATGAAGTATTTTAGCAATGGTTCTATCTAGGTGCTGAGCATCTTAAAACTTTATTGTCACCCTTGGCTAGGGATTCGTCGTTCATCGTCGTTGGTCGTTAAACGCCACGAGGAAATCGTCGAAAACTGTGAGTGTAAACTGTTACGTATATTTTATTCTGCTAACAGGTGAGATCTCCAATTCAAGGCAATCTTTTTGTATTTAGTTGAATTTAAAACTTAAAAAAGAAATGTTAAACTGTCATACAAGGTTGCTCCAAGATTAGCATTTTTTCTCATTAAACAAGAAAATGAACCAAAAACGCTGCAACCATTTTAAAGAGCTTCACAACTTCTGAATAGCTTATTGAAAAAGTAAACTCATAAATATTTCGTAAGACTTCCATACAAGTCTCTCTTCAGTTATGAAAGTCCCAGTCCCAGTAAATAAATGATATTTGGAAACTAAAAAATAAATATGTTATCAACTATGTATTTAAACATTTTTATGTACTACTATTGTTATTTCACCTTTTGTGATACAAATTCATTTCCTCTTTGTCTATAATGTTGTACGTTTTCTCAAAAAAAGAATTTTTCGAGAAGAAAAAATAAAAAAAAGATAAATGTATCCATTGCCAGTTAATAATATTGTGTTGATTTTTGGGATTTTTTTTTTGTCACAGTACATTTCAAGATAATTATTTTCTCGCAATGTTATTATGGTCTGGTCCAAATGCTTTTGTTTCAATTTCTATCGCTCGTTCATAAAAATCTTTAGCTTTTTCGTACTCTCCCATTTTCCTGTAAACTTCACTCAGATTGTTGTACGTTATCGCAATATTAACATTGTCCGGTCCAAATGCTTTTGTTTGAATTTCCATCGCTCGTTCATAAAAATCTTTAGCTTTTTCGTACTCTCCCATTTTCCTGTAAACTTCACCCAGATTGTTGTACGTTATCGCAATATTAACATGTTCAGCTCCAAATGCTTTTGTTTGAATTTCCATCGCTCGTTCATAAAAATCTTTAGCTTTTTCGTACTCTCCCATATCACTGTAAACTGAACCTAGATTGACGTACGTTTTTGCAATATTAACATGGTCAGGTCCAAATGCTTTCGTTTGAATTTCCATCGCTCGTTCATAAAAATCTTTAGCTTTTTCGTACTCTCCCATATCACGGTAAACTGAACCTAGATTGTTGTACGTTTTCGCAATATTAACATGGTCAGGTCCAAATGCTTTCGTTTCAATTTCTATCGCTCGTTCATAAAAATCTTTTGCTTTTTCGTACTCTCCCATTTTCCTGTAAACTTCACCCAGATTGTTGTACGTTATCGCAGTATTAACATGGTCAGGTCCAAATGTTTTCGTTTCAATTTCCACCACTCGTTCAAAAAAATCTTTTGCTTTTTCGTACTCTCTCATTATAATGTAAACCGTACCCAGACTGTTGTACGTTATCGCAATATTAACATGGTCAGGTCCTAATGCTTTTGTTTGAAGTTTTATCGCTCGTTCACAAAAATCTTTTGCTTTCACGTATTCTCCCATTTCTATGTAAACCGAACTCAGATTGCTGTATCTTACCGCAATATCAACATGTTCAGCTCCAAAAGCTTTTGTTTCAATTTCTATCGCTCGTTCATAAAAATATTTTGCTTTTTCGTATTCTCCCACTTCACTGTAAACCCAACCTAGATTGTTGTACGTTATCGCAATATTAACATGGTCAGGTCCAAATGCTTTTCTTTGAATTTCCATCGCTCGTTCACAAAAATCTTTTGCTTTTTCGTACTTTCCCATTTCACTGTAAACCCAACCGAGATTGTTGTACGCTGTCGCAATATTAACATGGTCAGGTCCAAATGCTTTCGTTTCAATTTCTATCGCTCGTTCATAAAAATCTTTTGCTTTTTCGTACTCTCCCATATTATTGTAAACCAAACCCAGATTGCTGTACGTTGTCGCAATATTAACATTGTCTGGTCCAAATGCTTTCGTTTGAATTTCCATAGATCGTTCATGAAAATCTTTTGCTTTTTTGTTCTGTCCCATTTTACTGTAAACTTCACCCAGATTGTTGTACGTTATCGCAGTATTAACATGGTCAGGTCCAAATGTTTTCGTGTCAATTTTCACCACTCGTTCAAAAAAATCTTTTGCTTTTTCGTACTCTCTCATTATAATGTAAACCGTACCCAGATTGTTGTACGTTGTCGCAATATTAACATGGTCAGGTCCAAATGTTTTTTCTTGAATTTCTATCACTCGTTCATAAAAATGTTTTGCTTTTTCGTACTCTCCCATATCACTGTAAACCGAACCCAGATTGCTGTACGTTGTTGCAATATTAACATGGTCAGGTTCAAATGTTTTCGTTTCAATTTCTATCACTTGTTCATAAAAATCTTTTGCTTTTTCGTACTCTCCCATTGTCCTGTAAACCTCACCCAGATTGTTGTACGTTATCGCAATATTAACATGGTCAGGTCCAAATGCTTTTGTTTGAATTTCCATCGCTCGTTCATAAAAATCTTTTGCTTTTTCGTACTCTCCCATTTTACTGTAAACCAAACCCAGATTGCTGTACGTTGTCGCAATATTAACATGGTCAGGTCCAAATGTTTTCGTTTCAATTTCTATCGCTCGTTCATAAAAATCTTTAGCTTTTTCGTACTCTCCCATATCACTGTAAACTGAACCTAGATTGACGTACGTTTTCGCAATATTAACATGGTCAGGTCCAAATGCTTTCGTTTCAATTTTTATCGCTCGTTCATAAAAATCTTTTGCTTTTTCGTACTCTCCCATTTTACTGTAAACCGAACCCAGATTGTTGTACGTTGTCGCAATATTAACATGGTCAGGTCCAAATGCTTTTGTTTGAATTTCATCGCTCGTTCACAAAATCTTTTGCTTTTTCGTACTCTCCCATATCACTGTAAACCGAACCCAGATTGTTGTACGTTGTCGCAATATTAACATGGTCAGGTCCAAATGTTTTCGTTTCAATTTTTATCGCTCGTTCATAAAAATCTTTTGCTTTTTCGTACTCTCCCATTTTCCTGTAAACTTCACCCAGATTGTTGTACGTTGTCGCAATATTAACATGGTCAGGTCCAAATGCTTTTGTTTGAATTTCCATCGCTCGTTCATAAAAATCTTTTGCTTTTTCGTACTCTCCCATTTTACTGTAAACCAAACCCAGATTGCTGTACGTTGTTGCAATATTAACATGGTCAGGTCCAAATGTTTTCGTTTCAATTTCTATCGCTTGCTCATAAAAATCTTTAGCTTTTTCATATTCTCCATTCTCCCAAAGCAATAAACCCAGCTCGTTGTACGAATATGAAACATCAACATGATCAACACCTAACACTTTAGTTTGAATTTCTATCATTTTATAAAGTACTTTAGTTGCAAGTTTATAGTTGCAAAATCTTTCCAAAACATCTACAAAATATTTGGCCAATTTCCAATTTCTTTCATCAAGTTTTTGTTTTGATGATTTTACATCGAACAATTTATTTAGGAAATGCTGAAATGATGAATTTGTTATGAATTTAATTAGATGTGGAATTATTTTGATTTCATCTTCTCTGTCTTTAAAATGATTTAGTGCCCAAGCAACTTGACACAAAAGATCAGCTGCAGATTCTTTAGAATTATTTTCGTTTTGTTTACAGCCAAAGGTCTGCGATGAATAATTTATGATGGCTTCGTGTACAACGCTGTGCAGGCGGATGTCGTTGTTTTCCGTTTGAAGGAATAAAGAACAATGCTTTAATTGAAGACAGACATCTTCTGCAGATTTTGTGGATCAATGCTTTTAATAAATGTATTATAACATCTTGTGGTAAGGGATCGAAAGATATTATTGAGAAAAGTTTAAAACATGTTCCAACAAGATGGATTCTTCGGCATTTTTTGTACTGCTAACATAACAGTTTTCATTCCTAAGTAAGATGGGTTTATTTTTGAAAATTGGCATCCATGTTCTGTCGCTCTCCTTCATTCAACTTATCAAAATATTGCTCCCACGTGAATGTCGGATTTACACTTTTACACTACCTACGTAGGAAGCAGCATTTGCCAGGAACAACGGTTGACGATCTAATTTGTCTGATAAATCCTTTAAATTTTTCATCTTGATTTGAATATCAGAAAAGACAGATAGAAGTTGTCGACATTCTTCATTGTTCATACCATGACTAACTGAAATGTGTTTATTTAGATTTCCATCTGGTGGTATAGCATCTGTATTTTGGACAGTTACTATAATTTGACCATTTTTCCAGCTCTGATCACCAACTTGAGGTAATAATGGATAAATTTTATGAAGTTGAACCACGTTATCTACAACAATCCACCATCTTTGCCAAGATTTCAGTTGCTGTGTCAGCAATAATTGAAAATCTTTAATTTTGTCTTCGCTGCTTTTTGCTTCTTTCAGAATATTTTCAATGACATTTTTATCATTGTTAAAGCGTTGATAAAGTTCAGCATAAGTTTTCAAAAGAGAGTCGACATCTTTTCCGTCGAGTGTCATCACAAATGTCGTATTCTTTTCCCAGTCAAACGAGTTATGCATTTCTTCGCAAATTTGTCTAGCTAATTGAGATTTACCACTGCCAGGATTACCAGAAATATAGTAATATGTTAGTTCATTATTGTTAGTACTGCGCAAGTTATTGAGATCTGCGGTGATTTGATTAAGTAATTTTGTACGTTTAACTACATCGTGATTTGATTTGCAAGGAAGTACATGAAAAGAATTAAATTTGTTTCGTTCACTTTTTATTTTGATAATTTCAGTGAATAAAAATCCTAGATCTTGAAACGACTTTTCAATATCACAAACCATTGTGTGATATTCAGTATCAGATACTTTTCCATCTTCGTTATGAGCGAGTTTGTTTCTTACATCACGTAGTTCCTTCACAGCAGCTTCAGTGTTTGGGTCAATTTTGTTCCAATTGAGTGGGTAAACAATATTGCTCTACATAATGCCGTACAATCCCACTTACTTGTGTCACCATCTTTAAATTTTGACAAAATTTGTTTATCACAAAATTTTTTCTCTTTGATTACAATATTGAACAACTTCTGACCACTAACGTTTGTATTATCCCATTGTCCGTAATTAATGTTCCACTCTTTGATAAATAAATCAACAAGTTTCTTTTTAACGACATTTTTAAGTATTTTCTGCAAGTAGTTGTAATTCTTTTCTTCTCTTGACTCCATCTAAGGGTCATAAGTTTGTTTATATCAACATAAATTGTTTGTTTAATTTGAATTTATAGACAACTAAAATTGTTGAATATCAAACATAGCTACGTAATGTTACAGTTTTACTTGTACGTGTAAATGAATATCGAGGATGGCAGCTGAAAACAACGCAATTGGACATTTTAGTTTTACTGCATTTAGGCATTTGGCCACATTTTGGTAGTGACGTCGCCAGGATTTTGCAAATGCGGTTACAAAATTTGTACCACGTCTGTCGCTAGCGAAATGGCCCTAAAAATTGCTTCTACACTGGGAAATTTTTGAAATATTTATCACAGCATGAAAAGTTTCTATTTTTTAACTTCCCAGCTTAACCTTGGCGGATTTGTACATTCTTCCTGTTATAACGTTAAGTAGATTGATTATTGATTTTAATGAAATGTTTTTATTATATAATACTCCCAGAATTTCAGTATTTTAATGAACCTTACTTATTTTAATGAACATTGCTATTTTTGTATTTTTGTGTCATGAATGTACGATCTCATACAAGCTCTATGATATGGTGAAATGTGGTTTCTGACATGCATAACAATATTACTTGTTCTTCCTTGCCCACTAGAGACTTGAATTATTCTAAAATTATTGTTTATTTTTTTTATTTTTAAGAAATTCAATTCTTTATCACTTGGCTAACAACCCAGAAAGGATAAATACAACGCAAACTGGTCTACACAGCTAATAGAATACTTCCCTTTACAGTAAAGTTTTGTGAATTCGTAAGAACTACATTAATGCCATGTGCTTCTTTTTCAATTTTGAATGATGAATATGAAGACTCTTATCTAAAATTCAATTGTGGAGCACTTAGGGGGAACGTGCCCCCTTTCCAGGCCCTACTTTTGCGAAGCCACTGCATATTGGAATAAAAATGGAGGTACTGAGTTATATTATCACTTAGGAAGGTGTTTAACAATTTGTCTAACTGACACACAAAGTTTGTTTCTGGCAGTCTACTTGAATACAATGACTACTTAGTTAGCTGTACAATAGAAATATATATGAAGCAGAGAGTTCTGTAATTTAGGCTTTGCTTTAAATATAAAGATTCCTATTTCCTATAAATGATCTGGTTGTCTTGTAGAATTAATTGTAAAGACAAACATAAAATTAATCTTCCTTCCAAAAAAACATGTAAAACATAAGACATGTCACTTTTGGTGGAAAAAACAAAAATTTCGTTCTTGGTGTGTGGAATGCAAATTGAGACTGTGTTCAGGCGTACATTTAAAAAATTAATCAATTACACACCGTGAAATATTGTGGTGTATTCTGGCATTGCCTTTTAATAATATTCTGTATGTAATCGACATCTGAATTTTATGTAAATGCCATAAAATGTACAACTTATTTGCCGAGTTTTTTGCATGCATTTCAAGTTTCTTAAAACGTGCCTAACACTTAAAATGTTTTGGAAAATCTAAAAAATAACAAAAAAGCTTTAACTATACAACGTGTATGTTTCTTACAATAAAAATTTGTTGTGGCATAGGCTTATTGGAAAGGGGGCACAGGACCCCAAAGGTTTCAGTAACCGTAGGCATTTGAGCTTAAACTCCATAGGTCATTTGCATAAGCAATCAAAAAAAAGCTAAAAAGACGTCAATGAAATTAAGTTATAAGAAAGAAATGGAGCATGAAGAAAAAGATTTAAGTATAGGACTTTAGCTCATGTGCTATCTACATACACTCCCATGCACACAGATTAAACTTAGTAATCCAGAAATCACTCTCATATGTTGAACCATTGCATTTTAAAAGAAAGCAACCAGTCACATACCCTTTTTGGTGATGCGTATTGTATAACAGCAATCCAAAACTCACACTCAAATCCCAATGTGAAACCAGGTGTTTGTGTGTTACAAATCCGTCAATGCAGTTATTCGACAAGTCAAGAGTATTACCAAAGCATTGGTTTAATTAACAAAGCATAAGGATCCACAAACATCACCGCAAACGAATTTATAAGTAGATTCTGCTTTGTTTTTCTAAAAATACAATTGTGAAATGTCTTAAGTATACATTTACAAAGTAGCAGTATGGATGTTATCAGTGCCTGTGCACACAGAACCTTTTTGCTGTTCAATGTTGTCGTAGCGACTAAAACTTTGATAGTGTGTGGCAAATGGCGGAAAACAGAATGTTATCAGAGACACGAAATTTTCATTCAAATATGCAACTGCATCAACAATTTACATCCTACATGCCTCCAAGCTTTATTTTGAGAATAATATAATGATCATAGTATGACAAATATTGCTTATCATGCATCGAGTGAACACTTGTTTTGTTGCTTTAGACATAGTTGTTGGAAAATTAAAAAGAAGGATCACTCTGGTGGACAAAGATATCTTGTTTACCATTGGTGACGCGGTTTAAATGACAGCCTAGCAGAATTTTCCCCGAAGTTCACAATTTTTCTGACTTTCCATGATGCGTGAGTGTGAATGCACACACCAATCAAACAGAACAAGAAACACATGCAACTTGAAATGATAACGACCAATTTGCCTTAAGAATCATCGATTTTGTGTCAATATTAATGAATTTTACGTTGACATCAATTAAAATGCATCAAAGATACTTGTTTTCAGTTGGTCATGCATACGATTTTCAGCAAAAGAATCCAATAAGAAAAAAAATGTTGTGCTTCTTGAAGATAGTCATGTCAGAAAAATTAAAATCACTCCGTATAATGATATGCATAACTGAAATTCTGTGATGTGTCATTATTTTGACACATTTTGTTGAATTTGTAGAATAATATTTGAAATGAAGTATTGGAGTGTATTGCTAGCGATGATGCTGGAAAGTTTAGTGTTTCCAACGTTAAATTATCTAAACTTTATTTGTAATTGTTTAAAACCCCATCAAAATCAGCAAATGTTTTTCGTAACAAAAATGCCTTTAAACAAAGACACGGAGAGAACACAAAAGTAATGATTATGCAAATCTGTAGCAACTAATTTTTCCATAGTTATCTAACGCAAAATTTGCGAAATATAAAGAACTAGATAATAAACTGTATACTCTCTTTTGATGTAAATATTCTAGTCCTATATTCACTATAATATCAATGGTTGTACGTTGACGTACCATCTAAATTGACCAAAGATCTAGCGATGCATCTGGCACAATACATAGAATTGTTCTCATGTAATCGCGTACGCTAATTTGATGGGATACTATAACGGACCCGGGCTGAAACTTAGCCATTTTTATTGTTTTTTGAAGTGTTTTATTCGAAGATTTGTGCTAAGATTGATTAAATAATGAAGACTTACAATACAGTAGTAACTAGGGGAACTAAAGCACAAATATCAGCGAATGGGGAACAAATTAAAAGGTTAAAAATGAGCCAAACAAGAAACTTCCTTTACATAAAAACAAATGTGCTGCTTTACAGCTTCCCTTTTCTCTATTTGTTCGCATGTCTGCATTTTTCATTTGGTAACCGCCGTGGCGAACAATTCAACCTGTTAGTGGCCATTGCTTGCGCGAGCAATAGAGACAAAACGAAACTTATTTGAGAAAACAACTGGCCCTAAGAGAGTCACAACACGTTGCTACACACATTATGTGTGTCCTCTTAAATGTTTGTCAATCTCGAGTTCTTTAACGTAGACCGCATGGAGTAGTTATATTTTGATGCTTTTCACTACATATGGCCCTTAGAGGGTTAAGTACAGTTTCGGTTAATAGAAAATATATAACACTAACAGGGACCTGTTATGACTCACATCACAGCTGTTTTTCTCTAAAAATCCCATGTCTGAAAACAGTGACATTTAAAACGGTACGAATCTTATCCTGTGAGAATAAACGAACTTAGTAACTATCATAAGAGCAACAAGAATCACTTTGGCAATATCGCCAATATATTTTTGAACGCTTTGTTAGTCATTTTATCAGACATCAGAACCAAACAATTAAAAAAATTTGTTCTTTGAACAAACGTCTCTACTTATATATGGCAAAATTCGTGTAAATCAGACGTACCTGTGTCGAGAGGAGTGAAGAGCTTGTTCAAATTAGAAATTTGTCAATATACTGTAAAACGTCTTGAGAAAAATGATGCTATCTGTTTCAATGCGATTGCTTTTAGAATTTGTGAAGCTCCTTATCATAGAAGAGGTGGAGTTGCAGTCAAACACTGCAGGTTGCTAAGATAGAAGGAATGTTGATGAAATTGAACGAATCTTATTGGTTGGCAAATAATTAGTTATGCTACTAGCAACTGTTGCTACCATGCAAGAAAAATTTTTAATAAAAAATAGTGGATTTCAGTAAATGGACAGCTGTTTTTACATTTGTAGTTCACCCAATTGATCTAAACTCTCTGAAAGTATGTCCTCTCATTTGTATTTAGCATTTCCTTGACATATAGAATCAGCATATCTCATAAAAACTAAATAGTCTGCAAGTGAAGAATGTCAAGTCACGATAAAACTTTTACATACACAAATTATTCGTAATGACAGGAGCACTACATGCGGTCGTTTTAACAAGAACTAGCTAATGCAAGCCTAAAAATTCAACGAACAATCGTATATTCTATAATAATAAATTACGTCAAAATGGTTTCCATCTTAGTTTTCAGTGTGTTCTCCTCGAAACACTCCTTATTCATTTCACTTTAATATAATAGTGGAGGAAACAAATCAAGTTCGTATTCTTTTCTTCCCCGAATGACAACTAACAAATTTGCATTATATAAAATAAAAGCAATAAAACGCCTGCGTTGATTGGTTGATAGCTGAGCCTCATCAATTAAGCAATCAAAAAGTATTTTCTAATCAATCATGAATACATGTTAGATGAAAGATTAAACCCTTTGCTTTGAATTTATCTTCATTACATTATTGTTATTTTGTAAAAGAAATATAAAGATGTTTTTGCCCTGATCTGCTTTCGAGTACTCCCAAAGGTCTCCTCGGTTTTAATATTTCCACAATAAACATCTTTTATTTCTCAATTGAACATCTGCAAATCTTGCAAAGCACACCGAGTGGAAACATTTGTTTCCTCCTTAGAAACGTACGTTAATTTGAAACCTCCACAGCAACAAACGTGACTATGGCACTCTTCCACTCTTTACAGCTTCCCTTTTCTCTATATGTTCGCATGTCTGCATTTTTCATTTAGTAACCGCCATGGCGAGCAATTCAACCTATTAGTGGCCATTGCTTGCGCGAGCAATAATCACGAAACAAAACTTAATTGAGAAAACATCTCGCCATAAGACAGTCACAACACGATTGTATAAGACGTAACAACTGAATTAAAAAAGTAAAATGTAGTACACGTTTTGATAAAAGCCATGTTAGAAGAAGTAAAATTACTGCACATAATGATATGCATATCTAACATTCTTTGACGTGTCATTATTTTGACTCATTTTGTCAATTTTGTAGCTTCTCCACACAAATAATATTTAAAATAAACTTTTTGAATGTATAGTTTTTTAATGTGAGAACGGTCGGTACTACCCAATGGTAAAATGCTCAAAAATAAATTACCGTTTGTTTAAAAATTTCATCAAAATTGACAAGTGTTGTCCGTATAGCACATGCGTAGAGTACTAAAATTATTTATATAAGTCATTTGTGACAGATTACATAAAAACAAACAATTACAGGTAGAGTTTAAAATGAACATACCTTAAAATTTCAGAAAAATTAAAGAGGACACGATGCCTTTGCTTCTGCTTGATAATAAAGAAATTGGTTGATGCTTAAATTTAATCGCCTGCTGTTTTTATTGTAAAATATTTAATTCTGTTCATAATAGCGACACGATAGAATGTGAAATGCAAGTTTTATATTTTAGTCTGCTAACAACAGGCGCGATCACCAATTCAATTCAGACATTGCCATAAAGAATCCTGGTGTGCAGTGTACTTAACTGTAAAGCTACTTTTAAATCCAGATCTGGGAATAAATACACTTTCATAAGTTTTCAAAAGTTTTCACCTGCGTTCAATATAAGTGTTTAAGTGGGTTAGCGGCAACTTCTACTTGGGTGTCACGTATTTTACAAAATAGTTACACGAAGGTTTCCATGTTAGCCAATCGTGTAGCTGTTAAATTGAACTATATGATTATCGTTAAACTAAAACATATCATTTTAAATCTAGCGCTACCGTTTGTTTTGTTTAACCATCCCCAGTCATTCGGTAACCAAACCTATGCATTTTGAAACAATTTTTGTTAACTTTGTTTACTCGTGAATTATTTACAGCTTCACAAATAAGTGAAACACGCCCACCTCTATAAGCTGTCTTGACGTATTTTTATCTAATCCATGTCATGCAAAAAGCAATATTCCAATTTTAAGCGCTTATGAGGCGCTAGGTGCAACTGATTTCTAGTTGGATTGGATGAGCAAAGCACACGCTTAAAAAATCCCCATCCTTTACAAAAATTATAATGAAAGAAAGAACATTGCTCTGTCATTGGTTTACTTGCAGTTGAAAAAATGTGTCGGCTTTGCTGGGAAACTAGTTTGATAAAATTGGAAAATTATTTCCAAAACTAATATGTCTTAAAAAAGACTAAATTATTATTAAGTTCAAAGGTGTATTTAAAAAATTTCGCATTTTTGTTTTTCTTTTTAATTTTTGAACCGTTTTCCGTTGATACGAGTCCTCGGGGCGCGGAACTTTAGCTACATTTTTTTGTTTTTTTTTGTGTTTTTTCTCTATTCTTCGAGTTCTCTTACGTTTCTGCTCAGGCTTGGGTTTTACCGTTCATGTTTTTCTATTCGGGACTTTGTATTTCGTTAACTTTTAAAAAAGATTCTCTATTGCTCTAAAGCATGCCTCTATCCCAACAAAGTAGTCTATACATGTTTCATATTCTCACTAAAAATTAAAATTATCATCTGCAAACGACATAGTTAAGGGAGACTCTTGTATAACTGCATCTGTATCTGTGAAAATGCGTGAATTATAGTCTGAGTGAAAAAATGTATAAATTTGTGAAAATGCATAGACTATAGTCTTTGGCGTAAAATTTTGTGAAAATGCATGGACTATTGTCTTTGGCATGAAAATTTGTGAAAATCCATAGACTATAGTCTTTGGCGTAAAAATTTGTGAAAATGCATGGACTACAGTCTTTGTCAGGAAAATTTGTGAAAATGCATGGACTATAGTCTTTGGCATGAAAATTTGTGAAAATGCATGGACGTTTTTTTAATATATATTAATTTTTGCGAATAGGATATGATTCCAAAACGCGTTTCGACATTTTTAGTTTTCTATTTTTACATTTTTTAGGTGCTTTCTTTAAGAAGTCGATTAGTGTCAAGGAAAAAGAATCTGGTCTTTGGATAAATTGAAAAGCACGTTTTGGACTTCTAATCTCCTTTTCATTGAATCGCAGTGTCATAAAAAAATGTTAGCACTTATTCATTATACTGGTCTTATGCATTAACAGAAATCAATGTGGGGTACACTTATACTGTTACCGCCATTTTCAAAAGTGAACAATGACAACGGCAAGAAAAAAAACTAAAGTCAGACTTCCGCAAATATCCTGGTAAAAATTGTCGGCATGAGCATTGTTAAGTTTGTTTTGAAATTTATTTGATTGTTTCATAGTTTGTCAATCTCTGTCTGCAAAGTTCTTGATTAAACAGTATGAGAGTAGTGGCATTGATAAAGTAAATCAAAGCAATAACAAATCCTTTGTGTCTTTGAATCCTGCAGCTTTTTGTCTTTCTTATCTAGTGGTGGAAAGGATAGTTGCTTTATTATGCTACATTGTGTGAAACATGGTCACGAAATTGTTGTTCTTGCTAACCTCAGACCTCCACAAAGTAAAGGTTTGTTAACACACATGCTTGGCCTTCCATTAAAAAGCATTTTTGTCTCTCAATTCAGTCGTACTTGCCTTTAAAAATTTTGGTGGCTTCAACAAACCCCTTGTTAGACCACGTGGTCTAAGGGTCTATAAACTAAAAAGGTTTTGGTCTTTTTTTTCTAATGAAGTGAAAATATTTTGTCTATTGTGTTACAACTAACTCCACGTTCAGTCTAATTCCCATTTACAATTAAAAAAGTATGAATAAAGGGTGCTACTGAAGTTGAAGTTTTATTTTGGACAATGATTTTACACGTTTCTTGCCTTCTTTCAGTGTCTCACTTCTTAATAAAGTATTTCACATATAATTCTAGATGAGGTAGACAGCTATATGTATCAATTCTAGATGAGCTAGACAGCTATATATATCAATTCTAGATGAGCTGGACAGCTATATGTATCAATTCTAGATGAGCTATACAGCTATATGTATCAATTCTAGATGAGCTATACAGCTATATGTATCGATTCTAGATGAGCTATACAGCTATATGTATCAATTCTAGATGAGTTAGACAGCTATATGTATCAATTCTAGATGAGGTAGACAGCTATATGTATCAATTCTAGATGAGGTAGACAGCTATATATATCAATTCTAGATGAGCTAGACAGCTATATGTATCACTTCTAGATGAGCTAGACAGCTATATGTATCAATTCTAGATGAGCTAGACAGCTATATGTATCAATTCTAGATGAGGTAGACAGCTATATGTATCAATTCTAGATGAGCTAGACAGCTATATGTATCAATTCTAGATGAGGTAGACAGCTATATATATCAATTCTAGATGAGCTAGACAGCTATATGTATCGATTCTAGATGAGCTATACAGCTATATGTATCAATTCTAGATGAGGTAGACAGCTATATATATCAATTATAGATGAGCTAGACAGCTATATGTATCGATTCTAGATGAGCTATACAGCTATATGTATCAATTCTAGATGAGGTAGACAGCTATATGTATCAATTCTAGATGAGGTAGACAGCTATATGTATCAATTCTAGATGAGGTAGACAGCTATATGTATCAATTCTAGATGAGGTAGACAGCTATATATATCAATTATAGATGAGCTAAACAGCTATATGTATCAATTCTAGATGAGGTAGACAGCTATATGTATCAATTATAGATGAGTTAGAGAGCTATATGTATCAATTCTAGATGAGCGAGACAGTTATATGTATCAATTCCAGATGAGCTAGACAGCTATATGTATCAATTCTAGATGAGCTAGACAGCTATATGTA